CAGAACTGCAGTTACAGACCGCGTAGCAAAACAAAAACCCCACGTAAATAACGTTGTCACCTTTCTGCTACTGTTCTCTGCCCAGCTAAATATGTACAATACTAAGCCGAAATTTTAAATTTAATTTGTAAGATGAGTCTGTAAAATAAGTACTCAGTAGCTTACTTCCTTTAAAGCGTAAGTGCTTTTTAGCCTCTGTGTTGAGCTATCGTTAAATATTGATCGGATATTCTGATGACACAACATGCTGTCATGCCACAGTAGGCTAGGATGATGTCACCGCACCCGAGCACTGTGATTGGCCCAGCACCTGAAACCATACAGAACTATTTGTTAAACATCAATACTACAGAGGCAAGATTTTAAGTATTCACCTGTTTAGTATGATGTCATCCTGTTTAATTAGCAATAAAACATAAAATAGCCAAATCACATACGATTATGTCATTAGACCACAGATGTATAAAAACATTATTGTGATAAGTCTTGTACTGTGAATAAAACAAGAAAATTGTACACTTTTTTGTACAATGCAAAAAAAGAATAGGAATTAAAAGTCCTCCATTTTGTTTTTTTTCAATAAAGTCACAATTTTGAGTTGAATAAAAGGTATAATTGATTTCTAATAATACAAAGGGTATCCCTGAGAGGCATGTCCTGAAAAGCACTTATTCATTTCTGGAAACTCTCTAAGCAATCCAACAGAACAGAACAGAACACAGAATTTTTGCTTTATTCTCATTCTCATTATCATCATTATCAACTGCAGAATTTTTGCTAACTCCACTACATATATGCACATCAAACAGCCAGAAGTTAGCAAGGACAGTTTGGTTAACTTTCAGCACAATGGAAGATTTAATGTAAATAGACACGGTTATCTTTCTGCCTTCAGTCAGTTGACAGCAGTGGTTCCTTTTCTTCTAAAGCTATACTCCCACGTTTTTGGGTGGAGGGAAAACATTCCTTCCAAGCCAGGAGTGAATGGTATCATTACAATAACATGGTAATAATTTTGTGTGCAACATGGCCTTCATCACCTAATAGGGATAACTGATTATATGGAAATCTAAAGCAATTGTTGATGCTCCAACTGTGTGTTACAGGGTATCTCCAAGGGTATTAAACAATGGAAATAAGACATAATGGATCCGGAATCTAGATTTACGATAAAGCTAGTTCAAACCATCTGAGTGTGACCATTTCATCTAACCAACAGTCAATGATAACATAATTTTTGCCCCCTATTTTTTAATTAGATCATCTCTAAGTATATAAAGGTTTGTGCCTAAAACAGAGGTAGGTAAGTTTATTTCCAACTTGGCAAAGTGTCGTTAATGTTGATTTACTCACGGGTCTATTCTGAACAAGCTTCAGAGGGAAGTTACCACTCAAAAGAAGCCTATCCTTTATACCAAGCCAGATCATGACATAGGTTGCGTTCTTCAACAAGACATACAAACCCCTTAACCCCCCCCCCCCCCACTGAAATCCAGGAAGTCCTGAGAGAGGCTTCCCCTACATCATCAGAATGCCTGAAACAAAAGACCAATTGGTGAGAGAGTGTTACCATAGCAGCAAGCTGGTAAATAAACAAACAGAAATCTGGTCAGTGCTTAGGGCTGAGCAATAGTGGGTGGCAGTGATTTAACTTAGTTTTAAAATAACCATGACTTTTGCCACCCTGAATGGCACAAATGTAATAAGGAAACTACAAACTATTATTTAAAGGAAGCTGTATCACTCTACACGTCTACGTAATGACACCATCATCCTCTCTACAGGTTTAAATACGCTGAGTCACAGTGGCTATATTTAAGTGTGTGTCATTTTTGTCCACTTTTTTTTTTGTCTGACATTCATTTCTTATTGTGTCTTTGATATGCTACCATTGTGGTTCATAAAAAGGACAAAGCTACAAAGAATCTCATAATGAAACTACCCACCCTTTTGAATGTCGAAATCTTGCCTTTTTTATATGAAAGAGATGATTAGGCAGATCCGTTTACCACAAATAGCGCACATGTGGTTAGACATCACTTTCAACGAGGATTCTTGAATTTTCACCAGCTTAAGTTCCGCAAACGACCGTAATGTTAACACGGCTTCTTTAAAGCTTTGGCCCAGCCATACTGTTCTGTATCCGGATAAAGATACGTACAGTGTAGGCTAAATCACTAGAAAACACAATGTTGCGTTGCAGTCCTCATCAAATTATACAAACCTCCCTTCGGTGTAATTAAAGAAAAATAATCGCATAACATCAAACGGAATCAATGAAAAATATGCACAAAAATAACATAGCTACAAGCGCCATATTCGCAACAAGCCCAGGCCATAGTCAATATCTTCCAGCTATTGAGTTAAAAATATATATTATTATTAAACAATCTGGAAACGTATATTTATCGGGCATAATTAAAATTAGTTATTAAACGCATTAATTAAAGGGACCTTGGATCACCTGGCGAAATGTCTCCACATTTTTACTTTGACTACATAAGAATTAAAACTCGTAAAATAAGGAAATGAAGGTATAATCCTACGGCAAATGAGAAAGCAAAATTAAAGGCATTACATAATACTGGGAAAAGGAGCTATTGTGACATTATGACAGGCGCTTTATCGGTAGATATGTTCGGTGTCGGTTTCCCGAATGCGTGATCTCCTTCGTTTTACTGGAAGGGCTGTCTTTCATAACGGGAGTTAAATCGATTCGCCTTCGACAGCCTTTTGCTTAATTCGAGTTGTACCTGTCAATAATCTAGTAATATGTTAGGCCGCTTCCCTGATGCTGTTCGTCTTCCTGCTTCCCTACTGGCACAATATTGCGGACCCGCTTCCCGGAAAGAATGACGCGTCGGGCTGGGTGTCAGTCTGAGGAGGCTGATTCCCTTAAAGCAGCACAACATTCCTCTAATGATGAAACCAGCGCATTACAGAACTGTTTAAAAGCTCTTTATGTGTGAAACTGAAAATAAATAAATGACACTTCATAAAAAAAATAATATGAGGATATAAAATGAGAATGTAAAATGAATATAAGAATGACGAACTTAATTGTAAAATATTTAGCATTTTTTGACCTTAAAGAAAAAAGATGTTTTGGTTAGTGCATTATGACGAAGCCTATGTGTTAGCTTTTGGAAATGTATATAGCCTAGTTGATGGTTGGGAACGTCTTGACTTTACGTACGTTAAGAGGAAGTTTTAACCTAATTAATAGGCTATCAATGATTCATATCATTAGGCTAATATACCACATTATTTAATCAGCTCAAGTAAGTATTCAGAAACAAGATGTCTATATCATTAATCAGTGAGGAAAGTCGTCGTGGATATTTACACAACGTTACAGTTAATGTTCATTACATGGGTTCAGAATTACGCAGATTCAGTCTGCCGCCACTGTTATGAGTAAGATATAAATCTTAAATGTTAATGTGTAATTGAAACTGGAGTTTCTGGAAATTAACAGGAATAGAATCATTTGAGAGATGTATTCTGATTATCGGACTGTAGGTGAATCGTCATGGTTAATGTAACATTTGCTGAAAAAAACTTAAAAGTCCAGGTGTGTGATTGAATAGCCTAAAAGAGACACCACTTATACCTAGTAACTGGATATTTATTAATAGGGTACTGTAGTAGTGCCTGTCATACATAAAGATTTCTCAACAATGAACCAACCTCTACTCAAATAAACCTACCCCCACTCAAAGCCTCTTCGCCCCAGACTGCACCTGTACAAATGTAGGGATCATGTAGTTTGACGGGTTTGCCCTTCTGGAATATTCCACCAACAATTAACATGAACCAGCTACAGATACTAAAAAAGAACCCACAAACTGAATTCAGTCAACATATTTTGAAAATGACAAATAAATAAAAATAAGAGTTGTCACAGTTTTGTTATGAGCTATGAGTTAATTACTTATTATGAGCAAAAGGAAAGTACCAGTCTCAGTTCAATCTCACCTTCTGTTTGAACTCAGTTCTGGTTTTTATGACAGAATATGACCCTAGACCTTTGCACACCTGTCCTTTCGCACAGAGTCAAGAGCAAATATCATGATGTGATTATTGCCTGGATGTCTAAACCACTCAAATAAGCAGGACGATACATTTAAATTAGGAAAACACTCATGGTACCTTATGGTACGAGCAACCTGTGACCTTCAGTACGTTCTGTGTATGATGAAGAAATTACTGGGAATTTGAAAAAGGAAATGAGTCATTTGATGAAATGGTTCACCAGAAATCCTTCGATAGCCAAAATGGCATATTTAGTTTGAGATCTGATGTAATATTCAGCAAACCCCTGATTTCAATCAAGCCCCCTCTTAGATTCTGATATGGGAGTGTGTTTTAAATAAAATGCACTGGACGCAATGAATATTTTTAATATTTGAAATAGAATGTAGCAGTCTGCAATCGGATAATATTTATATATTTCCCGTTAAAGCTCGTACGATTAGAGATGACATATCTACCAAATAAGAGGTGTATAGTGTATAGGTTGACATTCACCTGTGATTTTACTTCAATTTAAAACTTTTTTCATTGAAAGATGTTGAAAACCTTGTCAGAAAATACACATTCAGTGCATGATTAAGCATAATTACTTCTGCTATGGCAAAGTGGGCATTTTATCCTAGTTGTACAGTGGGCCGTTCTATAGATTTTACACATTCATCAAATCTGTTCCATTGTTTTTCCTAAAAACAAGAGAAACCCTACTGGGACCACTGTAAAAATATTGACTCCCACGTCCTAATGAACAATTGCAGTTTTTTTGTTTTGTAATTTCCCAGTTCATGTTCTCAATGGTCCCCTGCATGGAAACTCACCGCAGCGTGCTTATGAATGCGGCAGTGTTCATGCACCTTGGTAACGCGGTGTGTGTATACGGACAAACACGAGCAATGGGGTGGGGCAGGCAGCTGATGGATGAGATGGGGGGGGTAGATGGGCTGCACTGGAAGTTTCCAGGGCTTCATTGCAAGGACAGCACAGGATGGCCGCTGGGTTGCACTTCACGCCTCAGTGGGGCATGTGGTCGCGTCCCACTCTACCCACGCTCTTTGTTCTTGTGCTGATGCAGACTCATGTATAAAACCAGCAGGTGGCCTGTCACATTCCCCCAGGCCCCAAGACCAAATCTCAAGGTATGAGCCTTTAATTTAACTGGCTGCTAATTTTTCTCTGTTTCTGCTATGTACCCATTTGCAGATCTCAGTAAGTTACTGGAGTATTTTGGGTTAGGTTTTTATATTTGGGTAATATCTTCTCCTGGGACTTCAACCAGCAAGATACTTAGTTAGGTTAATCATAAACAATCAAAACATTCAAACAGTGTCTGTACGCTTTATCATTAATCTCAAGAAAACAGAGAAACTATTGTTGCTCACTAAAATGGCATTTTACTTCTTTTTTTCTAGTTCCTGTCTGTTTTCCTGGTTTCCTCGTCGTCTTTAGAAACGTTGTAACTCCCCCTTATCATCCATTCACAGGCAGGAATATGAATTTAAAGTCTAGTCTGTGTCAAACTGCTACGGCGTTAGTTGTGAATTCGGCATAATGGTTCTGTCTTTCAGTACAGGAGCTAATAATGTTTTCGTGAAATGACATCAGATGGAAACTTTACTTTTAGCAAAATTTTACTAGGTTTGGGATTGCATGCATTGTTGTTTACCAGCCTAGGTAATGGAATGGATGGATGGATGGATGGAAGGAACTGTTTTCCCATTGTGCCCACAAACATATTGGTACCTAATCTGTGTGTGTGTGCGCACGCACTTTATTAGTCCCCATGGGGAAACTATGACTTGTGACCCCACATGGATGGAGTGGAGGCAGAAAAAGGATGGAACTGTTTCTTTGCTTATCCCATCTTTCTCTCCTTGAGCAAGCTTGGTTGTCACAAAGTGGGGTTAACTATCATCCAGCATCCTTGGGGCAATTAGGGCAAAGGTCCAACAGCAGCACCAGTCTGCCAGCACCAGGATTCGAACCAAAGACCTGATCACACTGAACCCCCCTTTTTGCCCATTGATTTTAGTGCAGTGGTTTCAATTAAGTATTTCTACAATTGCTACAAAGACCTAATAAAAATTTTGGAAGACACAATAGAAAGAGGTATCATCTATGACAGTAAGAAAAATGCCGCACATTCTAAAGTATTATTAAACATGACAAGACAAAAATCATGAGCTATGTTTTTACAAGCATCACCTTTATATTAGTCACTTTAAGCAATACACCCAGCTCTGAAACCAAACTCTGTTATACAAACAACAGCATTTGTCTTTTTATTAAGTTAATGAAAGGTTTCAGTAAAGGGTATTCTTAAATATATTCATTATACTGTGTTATTGTTATGCATTCTTATACAACGAATAATATTTATATTATTACGTACGCCTAATACGTAATACTTATTAATATTGAGTAAGTATGTGTCTATTATGTAATGTAAATTCGTATTGAAACGTGCAATAAGCACGGCGGTGCTGGCGGGTTCCGTGTGTGGGGTCTCCCCCGGGTACTCCGGTTTCCCCCCACAGCCCAAAGACATGCTGAGGTTAACTGGAGTTGCCAAATTACCAATAGGTGTGCTTATGTGAGTGACTGGTGTGTGAGTGTGCGCCCCATCCTGGGTTGTTCCCTGCCTTGTCCCCAGAGCCTTCAGGATAATCTCCGGACCCCCCCACGGCCCTGAACAGGACAAGCGGTTACATAAAATGGATGGATGGATGAAACAGGTAATACATGAACACAATATAATCTATGGGACTTCGGGAATAAATCAATAAAAAAAAATAACAAAACAGGCACAGAGTCGTAAACATCCAACTGAACATTGACTGAACATTTGACGTGATCTCTGTGTAAACATGAATTCTCTGATATAACAAAATCTAGTCAATCCCATAATAAATATCCGGTTTTAAAATCTGCCCAATTTTTTTGTTTCGGTAAATCTCAGCTGTACATCGAAAATCACTTCTACAATATTTTCTTTGAAGTAGTGATTATCCTATCAGCCTAGTACTTGCCACTGAATATTTTAATAAGCACGAGGGCTGCGGCTGACTCCCTCTCATGATGGCGTCCTAGTCGGTCGCCTATGTTGACCACCACTGCATTGGCAGTCTAACATGGGTTGTAATGATCGCGACCCCGAAAACTCACAGCACAAAGTAATCCGTTTCCAATGGATTTAGCTTAACCGCGCTAAGGCGTTTTTAATCAGCATTGACATGTCGCATGACATCTTTACCTACCTCCTATTACGTACGTTAAATTGATAAATCGTGGCATATTCTGTTTCACAACTTGGATGGGAGAAAGAAGATATCAATACAAATGTCTGCGTTCAAATAAATCCATTTTGTTGGGACCCCCCATATCAAGCAAGGGATGTTAACCTGTTCAAAACCAGTTTTTTGTACTGAGCTATAAAAGAATGGTCGCTGTCTGTATGCTTAAAAGACATCCTGAAAATGAAAGCAGAAGTTGTCTTGATTGAGCAATGTCATGTCAATATACACGACAATCTCACGCTCTCAGAAAAAGGGTAAAATTTTGTATCTTTGCTTGTCCCAGGCGCTGAACCCTTGTAACTGTACAGAAAGGGACTCTGGGGAACATCCTAAAGGTACAAATAGCATTAATGTACCCTCAATGGTACAAAAATGTCTGTACCTTAAAAGGTACAATTACCTACAGCTAAGGATAAATTGGCAGACCATTGAGGGTATACAGCCCCACCGGCAAGCAAAGGTACAAATTGTTACCATCTTTCTGAGAGTATAACGTCAATGGCCACTTGATCAGAGCAGTTTAATTCCTTCATGCGCGTTAAGATTAGCAGCTGTTACACCAAGACTATTGTAATACAGAATTGTTCAGGAACATAGACTTTAGTTTTAAACCGTACTTTTATTTCTGTATGTCATGATAAATGATTAAGAAAAATCGCTAAATGCCATTTCGAAACTTCATGTTATGAGAATGCCTGCTCGAAACATTCATATAAGAAACAGGTTACGTGAAACTTTCAAAGGTATGGTAGTGACGTTTCCCATTTGGCAATTTCCGCATATGACATGTGGAATGATTAGGTACGTAATGATTATTTTGTATGACTAATGTGATTTTTAAATTACCTAGTCTTGCTTAATTAAAACTAAATGTATATTGGCAACATAGTATAAACATCCTAATAGGTTAAGACTGCTTAATTTGGTATACAAAATATTTTCCATTGCCTGAATCACATATCTGTTTTTGGTTCTGTGATAAAAACCTTCCATAATCTGAATGCCACAGAAATACAATATGTGTACATTTAGAATTTAAGTAAGTACGCTTAATAATTGCCAACATTATCATAAAAGTAAGTTACTCAAATGCAGCTAAAAAACTTTACCAAGGAAATCGCTCTTTGTTTTAAGTGAATAAGCATAAATCGGACATAGAAAAAAATCCATTAACTAAACTGCTGATCCACATCACTACAGGAAACGTAAGCGAGTTAACATGAGAGACTCGAAACTCGAGAACTGCGAGTTCAAGACGAGAGTCACGGAAATACCCTAAACTATATTGCACGTTATCCTTAATTATTTCACAAGGTTTCAATAACCCAAAGTAAACAATTACTATATATACACATATAGGATTTGTGAATCACAATGTTTAACAAAAACTCAATATAGCCTAATTCAAATGAACAATTTTAGACATTTACAGTTTACAAATATTTAAAAAGTGAATGCTTTAAACTAATTATGGTGAAGTGCTGGGATATTATATAATATTACTCTTATTGTGTAAATAGATTCAAAGTAACTTAGAACATTTCAGTTTTTATGCACACAACAGAGAAACTGTTAAACAAATAGACAAGAGAACGTGGCACGTTACCTTAATGTTCATATCCCATCCTTTTTGGATTTTTTCATTTGGTCACCAAAATTAAAATGATAATTTTCACAACATAGTTCTACTACTACAACAATTATTGCAGTAATAATACGGTAAATTCTAGGATAAACTAGTATATAGTTAAGATAAACTGCCATATATTAATGATAATAATAATAACAATAATAATAACAACAACAACAACAATAATAATAATAATAATAATAATAATAATAATATATAATAATGTTATATGGTAGTTATAGAAGGAGGTAAAAAAAAAACAAAAAAAAATAAGGAGATCATATGGAGAAACTCCTGGACTGTAACTTTTAATGTGGACAGCGAGACCCGGGTCTGTGTATTAAAATGTCTTTTATGTCTCCCGAATACGTAGCCGTACTGGACATGCCTAAAGTCTCAGGTCATTAACTGGGTATGTCTTTATGGGCTCATTAGCGCGAAATGCGGTGAGTTTGAATTCCCCCTGGGAATAGTGGCCAGGCTAGCCTGTTATGGTGAGCCGCGCGGTGTTGCGCGCTTGCATCATCGGCCGGCCAGCTCCCGCTGGCCTATTAATAGAATGACGTCACCTCTGACAGCGCTCTTACTACAAGGATGCCTTAGCTATCTCCCTTTATAAAGCGGGTGATGCAACGGGACTGCGTTAGCTGTAAGTTTCACTACAAACAGAAGGGACGCGGGTGAAGCCTTTCGGACGGCACTGTATTCTCTTGTAAACGGCAGATCTGTTCGAGAGGTAGGTGCGATCGCATTTTGTTTTCGATGATAGGTCTCGGGGTTTAGCTCCGTACGTTTTCATTAATCCTAAAGGACTACGAAGGTGGATCCGGGATCGAAGTGTTCTGTCAGTGTCCGGTAATATCATTCTCAGAATACGTCTGTATTAACAGTAATATAAGACGCTCCTGTTTATTACGCATGGGAATGTTTACGTGTTTGATTGAAATGTCTGTTGTTTTCAGTAGCTTGTTGTCCTACATCAGGCTACTTTTCAAACCTGAAGTTTTGAATGATCGTCGAAAGGAAAGCGTCAGTCAGCTCAGAAAGGCTTAGAAAGTTAGTCTATATCCACTTCATAAAATAATAGCTTACGAACCCTGTTTCCTACTTAGTTACTAGAAACGGAGTTCCTTAGTGTAAAAATGAAAGTGAAATTAAGATTTTTCAGCAGCTCCAATAGTTAGTTATCTACTGGAATGCCTACAGTTTATCATAGGCTACATGTCCCTCGTATTGTATCCACTTAGCCATTCTGACTTAGAAATATGACGATTACTGGGTTTATACAGCTGCTGGTGTTACCGGTAATATAGGCTAATAGCCTAGTTAAGACATTTTAAAGAAGATCGTATTCTGTATTTTGAAAAACAAAACTTTTCTTCTTGCTAAATATTTAAATTGGCCTGTGCTGTTTACCAAATCGCATTCATTTAGATTCGGTTTTTGTATTTCTAGTATGATCTATTTCTCGGTGTGTAAGAATGAAACTGAACCGCGATAGCGGGTAACTTTTACAGCACAGAGCGGCCAGACATTTCATTTACATTTCATTTATTGGGCAGATACTTTTATCCAAAGGGGAGTATAATTGAGAAAGCTGGGGAGTCACGAAATGACGGCTAATCTCCGCCGTATCGTTTCGGTTTTAGTTATGCCTGCCATAGACAGCAAGTCATTCCTGAAGTCTGGGTACTTTCGCATTTACTTATCCAGTAAAGGGGGATTAACTTTCTTGCCTGAACCGACTGGCGTCATTCAGACACTGGCTGTTCTCAGGGTTAATGGAGATCATTTCAAAACATTCCATGAAAAAGTCCTGCCATTTAAAAGTTTTCCCTCGGTTGTTTTTTTTTATATAGAATAACTTTTTTAAAACTTCCTTTCAGTGTACCCTTAAGGGTCATCCTTTATCTCCATACATGAGAGCGCGTCTTTATTCACCTCCTAGGCAACATAATGATGCTTCAGTGTCCAGGACTGGGTCCTTCGGAGATCAGCGCATCGGCTTTGGTTCCTTGCCTCTCCCCACCGGGGACTCTCACCCTGGACGACTTCAGCAATTTCACGCCGCTGGTGAAGGAGGAACTCCGTCTGGCGATCCAGAGCAAACGTCTGTCTAACGGGCTGAACTCCATCATGAACGACTATACAAGTTCCAGCTCGGAACGAACCTCGGAGCAGCTACCGGTGAAGCGAGAGGTAAGAAATCGATCCTGTATTCTCTCCTCGTAAACATATATTTTATTTATAAATATGAACTTACCAAACTCAAAACGTACATTGTTAAATTTAAGTTTGGTCTCCCATTAAAATATATTATATTTCAAAATATTATCATAATCATTTTGTTTATATCTTAAAATATGTGTAAAGTCTTAAAACTGTTAAGGCTAATCGTTATTTCATAAATTTCTAATTTTCTTTTAATGTTTGTACTCCGGAACAAAAGTGTGTCTCCACGTGCGTACTTTACCTCCTGTCTGGGCACGTTATTTTGTACCACAGACTTGTTTACAAGTTGAAAGGATAGGTAACTAAAGGTCAGGCAGAACTTTTTAGCGTGAGATCATGAGTGCCGCCAATTTAGGGCATAGACATTTTTATATATGTTTGCTGCTTGTTTGTCTTTCAGGTCACTCCAGAGGAAAGCGAAAGGAGGAAAAGGAGACGTGAAAGAAACAAAATAGCCGCTGCCAAATGTAGAAATAAGAAAAAGGAGAAGACTGACTGCCTACAGAAGGTAAGATGGGAAATTAGATAAAAGTCAATAGCAACTGAAATGTCATCTGAGCAGAAGGGATTGTCTGGATAAATCAAGGCTGTATTTATGTTCAGCAGAGCTTTGTATGTCATAAATGGGCTTTTGTTTTTGTATTACTTTGGCCATTTTCCCAAAAGTTAACTGGCATTTGGGGTAATCTGCTTGCATAGTTCCAGATAAGTAATGGCTCCTTCAGAATAATCCTATTTATAAGTTTATAAAGTTTTATGTTCCAAAATTTTAGGTTCCCTAAAAATTCACTCAGGGGCCCTTGGAATTGTCCTGACACCCCGACCCCCTTTATGGTGTCACTGATCTCAGGAACAATTTCTTCCATTTGTTGCGTAACGTGTCCAGCTTCAACATGTCCCCCTGTATCCCTTCCAGGAGTCGGAGAAACTGGAGTCCCTGAATGCGGAGCTGAAGGCCCAGATTGAGGAGCTGAAGAGTCAGAAGCAGCAGCTGGTCTACATGCTGAACCTCCACCGGCCGACCTGCATAGTCCGTGCCCAGAATGGCCAGACGCCGGAGGACGAGAGGAACCTTTTCATACAGCACATCAAGGAGGGCACCCTGCAGGACTTGATCACTGGCCCGGCTGGACTGAGTCACACTTCAGTTCCCATGTCCTGTGATCACCACTGACTGAGCAAGGCTGGATCCATCTGCTTACAAGTGAAGATCCCAGAGAAACTGTAATGTTCCACTCCCGATTTACGGGACTTCTAGAGGAATTAAAGAGAGACTGGACAGCTCCACAGTTCCCCGTTCCACCCGGGATGGTACGCGGACCATAGCCTGTGAAGAAAAAGCTTTATAGCACTAAGGAAAACCAAGATATTCAATTTTCTTCAAAATACGAATATATTTTAATTTCACTTTGCCCTTACAATGTTGTCGATGGTAACTCACCCTGTCTTTGGTAAAAGTTGTGTTAATTTAGTCTGGTTTAGTGAGCAAAAGAATTTAGGTGATGTCACAGGTAACTTGAGATAAATGTTTACACAATTTCAAATTGAAACTTCCCTATAATGCTGAATACTCATTACTGTGGTAACTTTTACATGGAATACTAATAGCATCGATAAGAATATATGGAGATAATGCATATTTTTAGTTTTATTATTATGTGGAAACCCACGTTTCATACTTAGATGTAGAAGATGAATTCGTTCTGAATTTTATTTAATGCTTAAAAATTGTTTTTTATGTGTGATATGATAGCTGTTGCTTTCTATGATTTCACTTATATGCAACAGCCTTCAGAAAGAGCTGCTAAAGTTTCAGGGGTGTGTGTGTGTGTGTGTGTGTGTGTGTGTGTGTGTGTTACCGGAGCATTAGGAGTGAATGAAAAGCAATGCTGAATCTTTGAAGGAGATGTTTCAGCGTCAGGCATCAAAGGGATAAATGCAACATGAATGTTCTAGAAGTCTCATGCTGGGTCTACATTTTGGTGGCAAAGGCTGCTGGTACTTCAGACAATGTACTGTCAAGGGAATTTATAATGAGACTGAGTCTCTGAGGATGAAACTTTTGTGAGAAGACTACTCTAGACTACTGTAGTCATATTTAAGCTGCATTTGTGCATACGTGCATGCACAAGTTAAAAAAAACAAATTTATCATGATTATGCACAGTGCCACTTGTCAAACTAGAACAAAAAGCTTGCAGATATTGATAACATTGTATGTTGGCTATTACATGTAACACTGTTATAATGAAGTTGTATGGTATTTATTTATAAGATATAGGAAGCAATTATAAAATGTGAGCAACCACACTTAACTATATAACTTATATTTTGAATTATACGCTCAGCTGAAATAAATGGCTGCCTTGTGTTTGAGCCTGCTCCATAATTTTCTCAGACATCAGTCACCGAGCGTTGCTCTGTAGAAAAGTTTCAGAAACCTCTCGAGGAACCTCGCATGGATGCAGTGGGCTTCAATGTATGCATCCTGGTTTAAGTGACACATAGAATAAGGAGGGCGTGTTGAAGTCCAGCTCTCCGAGACTGAACAGAATGAATGAGGTCGTGGTGTTTAGACTGTAAACCCTCTGGGACAGCCTTGCTGCCCAAGCACATCTGCTTTAGGATGCGCGTTTATTTGCTTGGGTGACAGAGAGAGATGTGTACGCGTTGGTAAATTTAGTAGACCCATGAATTACCATCCTCTTTATTTACCTGCAAGCAGAGAAGCTACAAATTATGTACTACTGTATAACCCAAAGGGAATATGTCTTGAAAGTGTTCCTGTTTGCACTGTTTCTGGCATTATCTACAAGCTTTACCTATGAAAGTGCAGAGTATGGAGAAATAGGTTCTGATGTGTGACTAGGCTAGAATTTGAAATATGTGTAATCAAGTCAGGTAAAATCTCTGATACTTCACTCCGAAATGCCTCAAGGAAATGTTTCTGTACAATCTGTCCAATTGTTTTTGATACTTTAATAAAAACATATGCTATTTTCTCTCTGTCTTCATGAATATCATTAGATGATCATTTTCCCACATTAACGTTACCTCTGTGTCTCATGCGAGTGTTAAAAGATACCAGATATACTAGACTTTTCCATTACTAACTGGTTCTAAAGTCTAAACGTGTAAAAGAGCCTTGTTTTCTTGTCTTGTCTTTCCATGTAGAACACACGAGGAAGGGTGTGCCTCTTCATGCAAAATCAATGACTCAGAGTTGCCAATTACTTTCAGTTTCACAGGCTCTTAGCTCAGTGTAGCCAGAAAAAGTGTACTTCATGTATGTGAAGTGACTTCTGTTGTCATCCATCTTGCCAAGATTTGAAGAATCCCGATGCTAAAAAGATGAATGATTTCTTTAGCTTGAATGAACTTGTTTAGTTCATGTTCTAACAACCACGCTCACAGTTTGCGAACCCTGGGACAGATGAGGTCTCTGGGTGAAGACCTGCATTTGGATTTCTTAGTAATGCCTGAGAATGAAAGATCCTTTTCAGTAATGATACACACATGATTCTAAAATGATGCTTCTGGTTGGTTTGCACAGTTAAGGTCCACAGATAGATGTGTGACTAGATGGAGTCCCTGCTTGAAAATCAGGAGCAATTATACACTCGATGTACCTTGTACTTACCTTAAATTTCGTTTGATAAAATGTAACAGATGTATATAGAATTTTTTCTAAAGCGACACTGATAATGAAATTTTCTTTCAAAATACTGTTTATCAATTATTCAAAATGTATGCCAGTCAAAAATTCTTGGGCATAACATTAAATATGACCAAGAAGAATACTACTTGACTTCTCTCTTTAATTTACGTAATACCTCTATGTGTTAAAGTGGCATTTTTTTCCTAACCAGTAACACATTTTTTCCTGAGAATTGTGTGGTATAAAACCCCTCCCCCTGACTGTCCAAGGCTTCTGGGTTCTGAACCACCACACTTCATGTATAGTTCAGTTAAAATGGTATTCAGTTGAGAAATTCTGATATCGAAATTCCATTGAATTTTAAGAGCTGCATTTTATTGGGAAATCCTGGCAAAGAATTTCATGTCTGTAAAGTACAAAAAAAAATAGTCGTTTATCAGGGCGATTTACTTGGAAAAATACACATCCCATTAGTTTATATTGATTTCCTGGATAAAAATAAGTTCATTGTTCCCTGATGGTATGAGGACAGGATGTGGGAGCTGTTCCAGAGAAGTTACTTTATGCATTTCCCCATAAACTTCAGTGAAATAACTAGTTGACTCCCAGTTAAATAACTTCACTGGAAAGTGGTGCAAACTGCATATATATATAAAAAAAAACCCTGAGGGCCCAGGGACAAACAAGTGTAAACTCCACACCATAATGTCACTTCTACACAGCCAAACATCATTTCATGCTTCACGCAAATTTACAAATGCTTCAGTACATAGTACATACATGTAAATGATTTTGTACAATTGTCATTTGGCACGATTTTCAGTTACTTTTGGTTATGTAGTTTCCCATTGTAAGAATTTTACATAGAAAACTATATATGTACATGGGCATCGTGTTATAAACCACGTGCAAAACAGTCAACCAAGCTTTCAAAATTATTTAAAAATACATCCTGTAAATTGCAGTGATACAGCACTGTTGTATTTTTGACTCACACAGTACATCATTTTGTTGTCATTTCATTGTTCTTGTATCACCATGTTGCTGGTTTTGTGTTATACGGTGCTGTGTGAAGTTTTTGTTTGCTAATGTACTGTCTTGAGTTCTGAAGAAGTTACGTGTGCATGTGAGGGCTTTCTCTTGCCAGTGAACTTTACATACTGTAATATAGAGTCTTGCAAGGTTGAAACTAGCGTCTTTGGCATGAAAAAATATCAAGTTTGCTAAAGAAAAATAATCTGTCAGTGACAATGAGAATGTGGGAACCGACTATCATTCAGAATTTTGGAGCTCAGAAGCATAATTATACTGATATACTGACAATATATCCCCGGATTTTGACTCTCATGATTAAAATGATACTGATTGTACTTCTCATTTTGCTGACATTGACTAATTCATTGGTGGAATCATTTGCTTTTGAGACACGAAAGAGCTGCTAAAGTTTCAGGGGCGTGTGTGTGTGTGTGTGTGTGTGTAAATGTGTGTGTGTGTGTGTGTGTGTGTAAATGCTCTTATAGCTGTTAAATATGTTTAAGGAAATGTGCCAAGGCAATCAAGAGTTACTTCATTGATAGAATTATTTGCTTTTGAGACATGAGTTAATAGTTTTGGGTGTTAGGGCCCTCTGCAGCTTAACCTTGCTGTCATGCTTTATGCATGAATTGTTTTGAGAAATTATCTTGTGGTTGTGACAATGTTCAAGATGTTTAACGATATGCGCCAAAGCAAACTGAGAACTGTAAGTCCTGTAAGTTGCAAGGTGGGATCTCCATGGATTGGATTGTTTGTCCAGCACACCCCACAGATGCTCAAGTAGATTGAGATCTTGGAAATTTGGGTGACAAGTCAGTAGCTTGACAGGTGCCATTGTAATGAGTTAATCAGTGTTATTTACTTCACCTGTCAGTGGTTTTAATGTTATGGCTGTTTGGTCTATATAACATTTTGAGAAAGTCATTGTAGTGCAGGTCTAAATGATCTTGTGTTTGCAGTTGATAGATAGATAGATAGATAGATAGATAGATAGCAGGCTGATTCATTTAATGTATAAACTTTGGATGAGCATTAATTCTTTCTGGAAACAGTTCTATTTAACCATAAAACTTGATGAATCAAAGTAACTAACCTTAGCATATTTTAGAGCTTTGCAGAGACTGACACACCCAGAGGAAACCCTACGACGACGCAGACAGAACATGCAAACCCACGCCACGGAAGCCGGGACGGAGACTCGAATCCCGGTCTCAGGGAAGTGAGGCAACAGTACTAATCATTGCACCATCATACCACCTCTTGTAGGGTTTCCATTTCAAATTCTGACTCTTCGGTTTCCTTGAAAGCTATAATGTAATGTTTCTTGTTGAATGCACTGTGGTAATGTAAAAAAATAACCTTTGTTCTTTCGTATTGTTGTATTGCATGTACCCCACCCGGCGCACTTCAGCATTCATGGCTTTTCCTTTTATTGCCACTAGAGGGAAGCAAAGTACAAACCTATTCGCTGTATAAATGAAATTACAGTTTTTCTCTATTGCTTTGGCCCATTTTCTGAAATATACTTAACATTGTCAAGACTATAAGAGCGTTTTTCAATGCAATTCATGAATATGGTACAACACTATGGTTTAGCTGCAAAAGCCTGTTACCCACTCTATGTGGATGCAAAACTTACCCAAAACAATTCATGTCTCAAAAGCAAATAATTCCACCAATGAATTAGTGCCACCATTGTGAGTATGTCAGTGTAAGTATGTCAGTGTGAGTATGTCAGTGTAAGTATGTCAGTGTGAGTATGTCAGTGTAAGTATGTCAGTGTGAGTATGTCAGTGTATGTCAGTGTAAGTCTGCTCCTGAGCTCCACAATGCTGAATGATAGTCGGTTCCCACTTTCTCACTGTCAATGACTGATCATTTTCCCATTAGCAAATTAATACTTATTCATGTCAGAAAACACCATTTTCAACATTGCAAGGCTCTACATTACAGTATGCAAAGTTCACTGGCAAGAGAAAGTACTTCTTCAGATCTCAAGACAGTACAATAGCAAACAAAATGGTCACACAGCACTGCATAACACAACACAGCAAAATGGCAATACAAGACCAACGAAATGACAAACAAATTGTGTACTATGATAACCAAAAACACAGCAATACTGCATCACTGCAATTTCTAGAATATATTTAAAGATTATTTTTATGGCTGGATTAACTGTTTAGCATGTGGTGGCTTACACAGTAATCACACACATATGAAGTTTCAGGTGTAAAATTACAGTTTTTCTGAATTGCTAAAGCACTTCATTCTTAGAACAAAACTGCCAGTTGCCAAAATGCATTTATTTAATCAGTCACTCGTTTGGCGAAACTGTAAACAGTGCTCACCTAGTTAGATACAATTTGCAGATCTGAGTTACTCCTTCTGGAAAACTCTAAACACTTTCTCATTAATCAAAACACATTTTGCACCATGGTAAAAACTGATGCAAATACACCGGATGCAAAACTTCAGCACAGCCAGCACACAATAGTCATCGTTTAAACACAATGACTTAAAACTGTTCACACGTTTCTAAATATAAGAAGCCAAAGAGTGACTAGAATGTACAATGTACCAGATCAGAGTGCAAGTGCTACAGGTGAATTGAATTTCGACATCAAATGGGTCACACAAACAAATCATCCCGGGAGAGTATTTCCTGTGATGTAGACAATGTTCCCTGTCCTGATCCAGCCCTGAGACATGCTGATGTGCATCTCATATGGATTTCTTACTTAGTCCTTTAGAGTAACCTTTTTGTATTGAATACTGCAAACATTACATAGCGGTTTAGTATAATTGTGTACAAACATTTTTGGTAGACAGCAATTATTTTATTATAGTCTTTTGGTTTCCAGTTTTGCGGCTCAACATGCAAAAGTTCACATCCACAGTAAACGTTTCTCTAGCCTGGTAGTGTTTTAAATTGTTTTCTATAGTGTGTAATGACTGCTCAGTAGTGTTTATGTACCGACTGGCTTGATGCGTGATCTGAAAGCAGCGTTTGCTGTTGAGCAAAGATAATATAGTTTAGAGAAGATTGTTTAGTTTTGCAGGATGAGTCAAAGGTTTTGTGTGAGTAGCTTGTATTTTAGGGTTGGTGCTTAGTGTTTTGAGAAAAGGAAAGAAGATTTTAGGAAATGTTCTCCAGCAATTCAGAAAAACTGTATTACAGTGGGAAACTACATATTTTGACAAACAAGACTAAAGCAACTGAAAATTGTGCCAAATGATGACAACTGTACAAAATCATTTGCATATATGTAGTACGTATTGAAACATTTGTAAATTTGAGTGAAGCAATGAGAGATGATGTTCTGCTGTGCAGAGGTGACATTACGGCATGGGGATTACACTTGCTGTTTGGCAAATGTTAATTGTCATTTGAGAAACGCTCCAAAGCAATCGAGAAAAACTGTAATACACGCACACAAACACGCACATACACACACACATATATATATAATATATATATATATATGTATATATATATATATATATATATTATTTTATTTTTTTGACCAATATATGTACGCATTCTTATTGAGCAAACTAATCTTTTAACTACCATTACTTTCCAGCAAAAAAAGTCTTTAAAACTGTCAGATTATTGGGTGTTTCATAACCGCTTAGGCAGGATAAAGATGATATTAACCCCAATGCTTATTCCTCAGAAGTGCAGGGCGGGGTCACCCACCCTGACATCGGATGCCAGAACATTAGAGGTCACACACTCACTTTGCACTGTAAAGACACCAGTTCACATGCTTTTGGGTTCTTTTTGTTGCCTTATAGGAAGAGTAATTTTTCACTATCAGGTTATCAGGAGATCAAACAGAACAAATGGGGAACTGGATTGCATAAAAGTAAATTACAAATTACACGTTGTGTACGTGCATCTGTGTGCAAACCCATGTGTGTTCACAAACCACATATTTTCAGCAGGCATATCAAACGAGACACGAGAAGCTAATGAACTGATGTGAAACTCGGTTTCAAAGTTCACCCTGCTCCGATGTTGTTTTTTATAATCATGCACACAAACACCAGCAGTAGGTTATACAAAGTTCTTCTGGATGAACTTTGGCTACATCAGATTTTAAACAGGACCCCCCCCCCCCCGAAATGCGATAAACCGTAAAATGCAAGAACTGGAAGTCATCAGGTTGATGAGTGCATTCTCTGAGGCACTGCGCGTCTGATGTCAAAGCGAGAAGGGAAAACTGGAATAGAAAAGGGGAAGCGCTAATGTTGCACTCCAAAAATGTCCAGACTGCAGCCTGGGTGCCTGTTTGCGGAAGTGCGACACCCCAGAGTGTACAGTCAACCTTCAGTAAAGTTCTGTATCCAAACAACAGTCACATGGAGCAAAAGAAACCTGTCACCAGTCTTGCTGCAGGTGTTCGAGTGTTTTTAAGAGCACTAACATCTGGAAAAACCTTGGCAGCTCCGAACATGAATGGGACCCAAGTAGACATTAGCTGGCTCACTAATTGACATGTGGCTGTTAGAACCGCAGTCACAGCATTTAGGAGAATTATTAGCCAATCAGATTGCTTTTCAGCGTCGATGGTGTTTTTTTTTTTTTTTTGTTGATCACACAGCCTGTGAATAACCTTCTGTCCGAACGTAGGCCTAGAAAATCATTTGGCAGGAAGCAGAGTGCTAGTTTTTCGTTTGTACTTTTGTATCCGCAAACGTTACTGACAAAAAAAACACTTCCCATTCATCCACTGTCTAGAAAAAAAAGGATGTTTGTATACAACGTTATTGTATAGCACTGTATGCAGTCCTAATGTCCCTGGATAGAAAGTTGTCTACCCAGAAGACAGCGACACCAGTACGGTAGAACATGCCAGCTCCAGACACTGAGAGCCAGAGTCTGAGCCCTAATCACGAAGGTATGAGCCAGAGGTGGTCGTTTCTGGGCCAGTTCCTCAGCTAATGTCGGCTTTTCATTAATATTAACAATACCATCATTTGTTATGCAACTCTAAATTACCTGTAGATTTTGTATGTGTAGCCATGTATATATTACATTGTAGGAACCAAATGTCCCCACAATGTGATAAAAAAAACTTATTTTTGACCTTGTAGGAACATTTTTCTAGTCCCCACAAGGGGAAACTCAATTTTATGAGTCCGTGAATGCAATAAAAAAAAAGAAAAACTAAAAATGCCGAAAGTCTTGTATTTTGTTTGCTTACTTTTGGTTAAGGTTAGGCCTGAGTGGGGGTACCTAATCTGTGTGTGTGTGCGTGCGTGTGTGTGTGCGTGTGTGTGCAGTGTCTGCCCTCCAACTGACTGCCATACCCCCCAGGTTGTCCCCTGCCTGGAGCCCCTATCCTACCTGGATAGGATGCAACTCAGCGTGACGCTGAAAAAATGCTACAGAATAAAGATGGATGGATTTGATACTGCAGTTCATAACAAACATAAATGCATTTTAAACCCAAAAAAATGTTTATGTGGGGAGTTTAACCAGTTCCAAAGAAATATACAAATAGCTATATATAAAATCAAGGACAACAGCTTTTTAAATACTGCAAATCCACCAATTATTTTATTTGTTATATAAAAGAGAAAAACTCCCATAAAAAAGTACAGAACAGCTTACTCCACAAAAGGTGTCGTGTTACATTCAAGTAATGCAGATTATAACATTTACTAATACATACGGATAATTATGCATAAAGATAATAGATCAGGACATCAGGTGGGTTTGAACATGTCTACCATGAATCATGAATCACAAGACCATAGGGACTGATGATGATGTACAGATGGATGCAATTGGCAAAGACGTTGCTTCCACTGAACACAGCTCAGCCCAAATGCAACACATCCCACTGGAGAATGACATGCTCCTTCAGCCTTTGGAAATTCTTCCCAATCTCCGACGGTTTGCCTAGGGACTGAGTCCAGGGCTCGTCGATTCCTGACCTGCACGTAGGATGTGAGAAGAGCTTGAGTTCGCCCTGACCATGACTGCCGTTCTACCTAGGGAGACCCCCAGAGAGGAGCTCCATCCTCGTATGTGACATCAGGCCAGCAGAGCAGTGCATGATGAGACAGAGGGGCTCGTGCGCTTTCAGAGCCTCTGTCAGGCGCCTCTGCTCCTCCGTGAGAGTCTGCACCTCCTTCCTCAGCAAGAGGTTCTCCTGCTCCAGACATTCATACTCCTGCAGGAGGGACACGAAACAGTCTGATCAGGGGCTACTATAGGTTTTGGGCCCCAAGAAAGCAACCCGGACCAATCACGTTACAAACTTCTTAGGGCCCATGTCATTCAGCCTCAGGACCAATTATGACAACATGCAAACTCCACGCATAGAACACTGGTGGAGATTCAAACCCTGGTCCGAGAGGCGTGAGGCAAGAGCTAACCACATGTTTTGCAATTTCTTACTTATTAATTGCGTAGTGCCGGTTCTCGTTGTTTGGAAAAAGGAAGGGGACGACCGAACCGAGTGGGCGCAGAGGACGGTGACCCTGCTGAGGTACCTCGTGCAGCCTGTCAGCTCGCTGTGTCTGTTTCTTGCGACTTCTCTGTGCCGCTGCCCTGTTCTTCTCTCGCCTCTTATTCCTTCGGTCATCATCCTCGTCCTCCTTATTTAAAACATCGATAAATAGACCCATTTTAAACCAAGTTAAGGGCAGGAAGAGGGGTACTGCACACTAATAATCTAACGCCGAAAATGCTGCGAGCATGATTAAGTCAGGTTCCTCGCACAATATACATATATACAGGCCTATTTTAAATACAAATAGAATACAATGCTAAATACATTCCTACCTGAAAAAACATGTCCCCAAGTTTCAATTATAAAACATGTCTAGGCAAAATACTTTTAAAATAATCTATAGGTCTCACCTGAGAACAGGGCTTCCTTTACTTTAAATTAACGTAATAGATGGGAAGACGATAGGACACATTTCATACTAGGGATATAGCCGTCCTGCGTAATACGGTGAAATTTTAATTCGCATTTTAGAGACGGAAGGTAAAAAAAACTGCGTAATTTAACAAAACATTATTATTACTATTAAAAAATAGTATTGTCAGTACAACACAGTAACACGTTTAGAGTACATACTACAGTATTTCATCGCGCCTTTGCACACTAACATCTTTTGTCCGTCATCTATTATTAGTACCATTAGTTGTTCCTGGTACTGAGTGTGGTTTAACTGGTGTGTTTTCCAATGAATTTTTGCACGACTAAACAACTATTCAAATTCCACGAAACACAGCACGCAAAGCAATAATTCCCGTGAAGAACTTTATTGCTTTCATTTGCGCTACAGCGATCTCACCTCACATTCTGGAAGCACATGCAGATCGGCGCTTCTGTGCAGGAAAGCGCCCGAGAGTCCGGCAGCCGACATGCCTCATGCAGCAGAGACTGACACCTAATCGCGTCCCGTTTGAGCGTTCGCCATGCCCAGGCTGAGCTTCACATGATGGATACTATAAGGCTCCATCTCCGCAGTCTCGGTGATGCAATCGATGCATCCCCCCCAAGACCAGTTTCACTTTTTAGAGTGGAGTTACTTCTTTCTTGAAATGGTCACCAGCGTTCTTTTAAGTCACATGTTAGTGCGTTTCTGCAATGTCTAGCAGTGTCGTCTAACGTTTCGGGAGGCTTTTAAGTTCGTCCTACGCTTAATGAAAACCTCTTTTCTAGTAAGTCTAGACAATGTATTTACCGAGGTTTGTATTTAAAAAAAAAATGTTATATAAGACATTAGGGAACTGGCAAAATGTTCCAGTGATCTCTTTTACGCATGTGATGAGAAATGTTTTTTTAACGGCAACACACGTTAAACATTAAAGTAGCACAATTAAATATACTTTCCAAATATGGCTGGCGAACGCCGTTAAAATTCCCAACTATCCAATGAGCAAAGAACTTGATGAGATCAGTCTGCTTGTGCCTTGTCTGGACCTAAAGCTTTAGTGCTCAAAAACAGTTTCCTTAAATCTGATCCAAATAAAGATGTATTTCTTTTGTCATATTTTTAAAGAATGCAACCCCTGCACCCACAAAGTTGTTTAACCCAATAGACAGCTTAACATCACAGCAATTTGAAAGACTTGTCAAGCTTTGCAATTTGCTTATATGGTTTCTTCCTCGTTTGGGCCAACCTCACCTTAATTTCATACTCATTACAAGCGCATGGGGCATTTTTCTGATAAACCAACAGGTAACAAGTAACACTGATTTAATTACAAGCAGGTCCGGGGTAAAGGCTTCATTATGGCTCTTCACATGTATTGTCTCTCTTTGGGTTCAGAACGTACATGCTGTTCATCTCCATCTCAACTGCAGTCCTCTTGAGGGGTCGTCTTCTGCCGTCACATGACTGCTCAACCCCCGAGAGCTTGCCGAACACCTCCTGGTGGAGCTCCATGGACTCGGCATTAGGCTGCATAGCCATTACCTGCCGGAGACCCTCGGCCTGCTGCTGGACAGTTTGGAGAGACTGGACATGGCGAGAGAATAGAGCGTTTGCAATTATGACAACACTTCAGTAGACGCACTGACTCTTACTGATTAAACAGCTACTCTATAACAAACGTAAGATAGTAAAAAGAAGAAAAAAAAAACAGAAACCAAAACTGCCCCCATCCATACAGAACCGCAAATGTTCCCTGAAACCCAAACTCAAAACGATCTTGTATGGAAGGCCAATTTATATACATTGGCCAATGGGAGATGGTTCCGATTGTTGTTTCATTAGATAACCAAAATACAGAGAATTATATCATTCTAAAATAAAACGAACAGCCCAGTGTATTATTTATGTAAAACAAACCAGGTAGTTAGTTTTAATACTAAGTAGAATATACAACAACAGACTGTTAGGACATAAGAGCCTGAGATGATGAAGTGAAAGCAGCGGTAAGCCAATTAGAGAAACTGGGTGCTTCTACAAATAAATGGAGATTGGAGGATCACCTTCATCACAGCAGCAGCCTGCCTGACCGTCTTGGGTACAGTCTCTGACAGACTGCTCACGGTGCTCCCTTGAGGGGGGGGTGGGGGAAGGGAAAAAGAGAAGAAGAAAAAAAATGAAAAGAGCATTACATGCCACAAAGTAAACACAGTATGGGGAATTTCAGAGCTTGAGAACATGAGAAGTTGTGGTACCTATCCACACAGCTCCGAAAGGCAATAGGTAAGAAAGTGGTCTTTCAGCTCAGGCCAGTGACCACGTAGACCTCAAATAGGGAAATGGCAGAGCGCCCTTGAACTCACTGTGGCCACCCGTACCTAAATTACTCTGCATATATCCTTAAATGAAAAACATGGGCGGGGATGTCCCTTTCCACAAAGGAGAAGTGAAACCAAAGGTCAAGCTAACACCTATTACAGCCAACAGGGCGTCCATGTCTGAGACCTGCACAGCGACAGCTAATGGAAGCCGGGTGACAGAAGAAAAACCAACAAAAGAGCAGAAAATAATGTAATAGAAATAAAGATTGTGCAACGAATTCCCAAGGAAGCAGGTTCCGCATTTGTTGTACTCTGTCAAAGTGACAAGACAGAAACCCATCAGTAACAATGCAGCCATCTAAAGGGTTTAATGGCACAAAGTAAGTTTTGGACAAGGTGTTATAGACAAATCAGTTATGCAATATGTAAAATAAGACATATCTGTAATACAATTAATTAAACCATGTGTTTGAGAGGATGCTCTCTAAACCGCATTAGCCAAAAACCCAAATGCTGTATTACTGTTTGGATTACAAAGCACTTGATCTAGTCATTTACAAGACATTCGTCAGGCGCTGACATCACCTCCAAGGGAAGAACCATCGAGAGTTTTTTGTTCCTATGCAAAGGTCCCCCGATCACAACTGTCAAATCAGACGTTATCAGGGCAGCAGGAACCAGACGAAACTCAAACAAAAGTATTCCAAGTACTCAGGATGAATGAAATTAACTATATTCAGTGTATAACATTTTTGCTGAGAGCTTTCCCACAACTTCCTCATGAGACACCACAAAAGCACATGAAATATTTAAGAAATCGGGTCACTCTGTAACTTCAATGGGAAATCTAAACTAAGAATTATACTATTGACATTGCTGGTTGGGTAAAATGAAGTGTGCTGCCAAATTGTGACATTTACCTTGAATGGGATCCTTTATTATCTTTACTGGCTTTATTGCTTGTTCATACAAACCCTAAAACCAAAAGAAAATACATTAAAATCTAAGGATTCAATTCAATTCATTCTCATATAGCACCTTACACAACACATTTGGCCCAAAGCATTTAAGTGTGTGACGATATATTAGGCATGTTATGAGATGCAAAGTAGGATCACAGCACTGATATACATTGATACTGGTTCATGTAACAGACACACCAAATACAACAATCGCCAGATGGATATTATTAAGTTTCATTAAATTTCATCTACTCTTTTATAAGAAACAAAACTTCTGAGATTTTAATGATGATGTGTGGAAATATTTTGGATTCCATAAAGATGATATTGAACAAAAGCAAGTGATGTGGAAGCACTGCTTTATGTCAGCACCAATATCCTTGACGGTCTTTATACTGTAAGGTCTGTTTGGCGATATTTTATTTTGGGCAAATTTTCAAAATAATTTTGTCTCTTTAAATGTATAATATTTATTGCAAAAAATTCACACCGCAATACTTACAGCCCTAGCTTTCAAAGTTTTCAAAACACGTTTTAAACATCCTAAGGGAGACATCTAGTGGTAGCTTAGGGAAAGCTTCCGAAGGTGACGGTAACTACCCACGTAACAGCAGAGGTGGACATTTCAGGTCCAGAAAGCAAAAATCCAGACCAAGATTTTGTTTCAACCAACCAGTTGAGTACTATGTGACTGTGCCTCAGAGTCTGAATTATAATCCTGGTCTGATTTGAACTTTCTGGACTTGAAATGTCCACCTCTGGTAACGGGCCTGTAAAATAAGGATCAGGATAACTATAAAAACCTGACTAACTCTAAATACGGTATTTTTTAAGATCTGACTGCGAAGTACAACATTAAGAACTTCAACTGTTAAATAAGCCTCCGCGGCATATTAAAACTAGCTCAATGCTGCCCTCTTGGGGAAAGCTGTGTAAATGATTTTCAAAAACAATAAAGGACGGAAATGAAAACCTGAAAAAGTGATAGGGCTGTAAGGCGTTTGCGTGCCCCGTAAAATTAATGAACGTTTTACGACATTCAGTGTTTTGCATTAGCGTCGCCAGAGGGGCACCCCAAGACCAGGATGGAGGGCAAACAACACGGGAAGAGCAGTGTTCACTGCCACCTACTGCCTGGAACTGTCTCCCCACTAAGGACAGCCAAAGGAGCACTACATCACTGAATTTAAAAATTCACCAGATAACAAAACTGGTTATAATGGGATATCACTTAAGGGTAAAGTTGCTCTCCAATCTTGCACTGTGCTACTCCAGCGGAAAACAAGATGTTCTTGTACTACTTGAGGAAAGTCAACCACATATTTTATATCTTCAAAATCGCTATCTATCTACATCCCTTACATTCAAGGCGACTGCCCACTTCCCTGTTCTGAATATAGGAAACATAGAAAACCAGCTTCTCCTCCTCAAAATGTGTCAGTAGAGACTACATCATACCATAGTTTCTCGTTCTGCCTTCAGAGCACGGACGACGTAAGGGAGGATCTGTTTAGGGTACCGTCTGCGTTTCAGGGACGTTTCCAGGATGTTTTCATCCAGCATGTCGTCCAGCTTCTTACAGTCATCATCTGAAAGCGCAATGGGCAAAATACATATCAAGGAATGCCCTTCGTAACGCGTTGTTAATTACTGTAATCGCCCAAACCAGTGAGATCATGGTTTATGACATGAAGCTAAAACACATTTCTCATTCTGGCGTTCATTTGGAGCAGAACGTTATGCTCTACTCTACATCATCATTACTACTGTAATTATTAAACTTACTAAGGACCATTAGCACGCCAACAACCACAGTTTTCCTCCAAGAAAAAGGAGACTTACACTGCAAGTGAACATAACCAAAGGTATTTTAACAATGCTAACGAGTGAAACATTTAAAATTACAGAAAAGCACATAATCTAACAAACGCCATAGATTATACACTCAAATGTCACACTATACAAAACACGTAGGTCACCCTGATCATTCTGGGATTAATACATATGAAAACATACCTTCGTCCTCATCGGGTGCCTCATCCCATGTTTCGCCATTAATCAGAATGTTTTCCTTCACTCCAGCCTCAAAATTCTGGAAAAAGTTACAACCTTTATTTACTGGCAGTACCAAAAACAACGTATATTTAACTGTTTCCCGAAGCCTAATGAAAATATAGAAGCCATCTCACCCGCATCAATTCCTCCAGTAATAGCTGCTTAGTCTCCTCAGAAATACCTGTTTGTCCATCTAATACTTTATTCAAGAGTTCACGATACTTTTTCAGTTGCTCGCATGCTTGCTTTTTCGACGCCAGCTTGATCCTGTGATCTTCTTTCTCCATTTCTTCGCAAAAATAATCAGTTCACCACTCAAAAGTTGAGCGCCATTCGTTTCAAACGTCAGTAAAAACCGGAAGTGAATGACCTACCAATGCTGAAATCTTATTGGCCATTTTAGAGGAGGCGGGATTTGACTTCTTATTGAATGTAATAGTTTATATTTTACGCACGTTTACATGTTTCAGTAATATATGTGTTTTAAGGTTTTCTACTGATTAATAAGTTTCCTAAAATAAAATCCTAAAATAGAATTCAGCCGAGAAGTCACTAATGCGAATGTTAGCCCTGTTTCGCCTCCCAACAGTAGGTGGCAGTGTGCAGATTTCGGAAGGGTGTTTCCTAAGCTGCGGGGGGCGTAACAGTCGCACGGCAGCAGCTCGAAGTTGGTCTTTGTGATGAATTTAACTAGGCTATTTAAAAATATATGTAATACATTTCAATATCCCCGTGTGGTTCTGTGTATGCATTCTTCTTAATGGATTGCAGTTCCTAATTAGTGTCAATACTAGACGGGGGGGTTAATTTTTTTTGTTTTTATTTTAAATATGTAATTCTGTAGTTCCATGCAATTTATAACACAAAACAACATTAAGAATTAAGCCCTTAGCTGGTGGGCTATGGATGGTGGATTTATCGACTGCCACTGTCACATTTCAGCGGCTGAGTTTACGAAGGTAACGCAACCGAAACATTAAATACATGGGAAAAGTTGACGAATGGAATTGACAGCTAACTGAACGGATTTATACTTAACCTGGTAATAGATTATTTTCCTACAGGGAAAATTGTCAAAGATTGTTTTGTTTGAGTGCATGGGACATTAAAACAGCATAAACTTAACATAATTCCCATCGTGTTTCCTTTTATATTACGCACCACTTTCTTAATGCGGTAATAGAATGGTTACATTCTGCCTAATGACCTCCCATAATCTGAATGCAGTTTCGGGTGGTGAGTACATAACCTAATCAGGGATGCAGAGTAACGGACAGACGGTTTCTGTAGTGGATATGAGGTCTCCTCTTATAATTCAAGACGTGATGGTAATAACATATGATTTATTTTGTTTAAAAAGTTTCAAGCCGTAACAGAAAATAAGACAGCAGGGCAGCTTGTTACCAAGGTTAATAATGAGCTGATACGTTAGCAGTAAGTCCATTGATGTTCAGCACCGATGTTCATTCTCCCTTCTCCTCACCGTGGGTGATGGTGTAGCTGATATTTCTGTAGTCAATATTGCCACCCAGGTCTGGTGGGAAGGCAGCCCACATGTTCCTGATCTCCTCATCAGAGAAGCGGTTGCACTGAGTTTGGAGCAGGCACTCAAGATAGTCCTTCTTGATGGTGCCTTTTCCCTCTGGGTCCAACGTCTTGAAGGCGGCAGTAATGACATCCTCGGGGTCAGAGCCCTTCAGTCGCTCCCCAAACATGGTGAGGAAGGTTGTGAAGTTGATAGGCCCCTTGGATTCATTCATCATGGCATCCAGCTCATCCTTTGGGACATTAAGACAGCCCATGGCTGCGTAGGTGTCTATCAGGTCGTCCTTGCTGATGATGCCATCACGGTTCTGGTCAATGACAGTGAAGGCCTCCTTCAGTTCCTGGATTTTGTTCTGATCGAAGATGGAGGTGACGGTGCTGGAAGCTCTGGTTGATCTTTTGGGTGCCATGGCTGAAAGCCAGCGTTTGGTTTGCTGGTGAGATGTGTGAGCTCCTTCTTCTACTACCGGGGGGGTTAAATATTGTGCCTCTCATCAAAATTCAGAGTTAAAGTTAGAAAGGTTGGAGCCCCATCGTCAAATACTGATGGTAGGAGTGGCCATAGGTGGGGTTTCTGAAATAGATTAGCTACCCTTGGTCTTTGTGGACAAATATGGTGTGATATCGGTGGACCTCCTTGTTGTTCATTCTGAACCTAATTTGGAGGGAGAGGAATGACATAGTGATCCAGCATGTGTTTCATTTTATAACTCTTGCCATATGGTGGGGTCTTTGCATTCTAACCTTGGGGGTGTGCGTGTTTTTTTTTTCTCCCCAGGACACAGATGATGTGATTAAGCGTGCCAAGGAGGTCGGTCAGCTGTTTCTTATTAGCTCCTTGTTTTAATCTGAATATGCTCTTTGCTTCATGTGCCACAGAATAACCTTATGAATCCTTCCTTGAAAACGTAATATTTCAGCATAATATTTTGATGGTTTAGATTTCAGTTTTTTTGGCAAGCTGCAGATTGTTTCAGTAAAAAGAAGCTTTATCAGATTATACATTGTAATAAATGCTGCCTTTATCATAAAAACTTAAGTAAAACATTTTTAATTATTGTGACTTCCAATAAAGCAACTTTGTAAAGTGTAATAATTGAAGTGTTTCTGTTTGTGTTGCATAGGCTGGAGTAAGAATGCTAATTTCAGTGACAGAGGAGGCCAGTGAGTTTGAAATGGCCGTCCAGCTGTCCAAATCGTAAGGGATCTTGCATGTTCATGGTAGCGAGGGGGACAGACTGCTGAAATTTAAAGAATGTCTAATTCTGTATCTGTGCGTTTCTGTGGAATTAATGTATGAAGTACACGGATGCCTGTGTCTGAGAGTTTTCACTTGTAGTATAAACACTTTTTGTTTAAGGTAGGCAAGCATGACATCTTTAATAATATCAAACAGTGAAACAGTTCATTACCTCTGTGTCAATCAGGGATAGACTGTTTAACACAAAAGTGTAAAAGTGTACTGTATCTGGTAGGCCAGGCTAATTGCGGCCTTAAAGGATCTTATGTTCTATTTCAACCCTAGCGGGGAGTCTTCAGACCTTGCTAGCTTGGTTTCAGGGTGAAAAATAAAACTATTAGTTTTTCCAACATTTTCACAACACCCTTGGAGAAAAGTGGTGGGTGATGTTACACATTAAACAGAATGTGAGCTGCATTAGGCATGGATCCATGGACCCCATTGTGTGGAGGTCTGGGAAAGTCAGACGCTTTGGCTAGATGAGCATGTATTATGTTAGGTTGGAAAGGCACACTAAGGCCGTGCTGTCCCAGACCATGGGAGACAAAAGGGCATGACCCCTAGGCAACATTTGTCTCCTCTTTCACCTGTTCCGTACTCAACATTACCAAATATGGGCAACACATGAATATAACTTTGGAAAAACTTCAAACAAGCCTAAGTTCTAAAATTGTGTTGGACGCACTTACAGTACTATTTCTAACAATGCCTTACTAATTTATTTTCCTGGTATCTTATGACAATATTTGTGGAACAGCATAAATAATAGCGCTGTTTCCCCCTTTGTTTCACAGTTAAGTTAATTATTTAGTGATAGTCATCTCTGAGGTGATTTGTCATCTGTTATAGTTACTCGGGTTTGCTGGCGCCATGTGTGGGAATTCACCCCGTTCAGTGCTCAGACTCTCGGCAACACCGCAGTGTGACGATTCAGGCAAGAGTCTCGCTTACTTTGTGCTGGGAGGTGCAGATTAGTGAACAGTATCCTGAATTTCACCGTTTATCTATATACTGTGCAATGTGGTACCTAACCCTACTGGGAGCATGCTGTGTTTTTCAGAAATATGCACGTTTTGGTTTTAATATAGGACTAGTCCACTTTTAGTTATCAGGATTACTTGGAGTGAAAATTAAAAAAAAAATGTTCATTTTAGGACTTGGAGTGTGCTTTGCCTTTATTTGAAAAGTACAGAGATGACATTGTGGCCATTGGAGAGGTATGTACTGTATAAGACAGCAGACTATCCATTGTTGCTATTCTTGTCATCTTCGTGTGATTTTAACATGTTTAATCACATCTTTATCCGAAGCATCTTAGAATTAGAATTTAGAATTAAGTGATCAGTGGTCATTGTCAACACACCACAGCACACAGTGCGCAACAAAGAAATGTGACCTCTGCATTTGACCCATATGTTACACTGTGGTACAGGTTTCTTTCTAATGCACTACAGGAGGAGTGATACACTGTATCATGTTTTTTGTAACTGCAATAAGAAAATGTTTTGACAAAAGCATTGAAGTATTTAAGTACCCATTAAGGCTGGGGGAGGGAAAGCACATTGATTCATTAATAGTTGTGTGCTGTAACTGGTCTTATTTAATTAACTGGATGTTTTATGTTTATGGATATTTTTAGACATGAATAGTGTTCTTTCTAACCATCTCTCAATGATTTGTTAAGTTTTAATAACTGTGAATTAAAATAATTACAGATTGGCCTTGACTTCACACCGTGGTACACCCCCTATCCACAGCAGCGTGCGGAGCAGCAGCAAGTCTTCAGGAAACAACTGGAAATCGCCAAGGAGATGGATTTGCCAGTGTGAGCCTGATATGGAGACTGTGCCTGGCTCGCGTTGTTAAATCTGCTTATAAAAATTGGCACTAATCGAATGAGTTTTTAGTCAAAGTTTTGAATAAAACCATGATTGTTAGAGTTTTAAGTCTTAATACATTCCAGAAGACCCAGCAGGACACATATTATATTTGTATATCAGATGGCAGAGGCAAATTCACACTACTAAAAAGTAAGGTTTGATCTACTCTAGGTAGGTTTTTATTGACCCTTTGTAGCAACCCAGAATTAAACATACAGAAGCCAATGGATATACGCTGTAATACTAACAGCTATCAGCTACGGCAATCCTGCATTTTCAACTTCTAACATTAAGAGGGCATTGAATTTTTGTTGCAGTTTCACAGACTACAGAGATGACAAACTATACCGCAGTCTATCATGCTTTTATCTTCACAGGAACGTCCACTCCCGTTCAGCCGCAAGGCAGACCATAAGCGTCTTGAAGGAGCAGGGTGAGGCGGAGGTCATGTGATAATGGCAGGCTGTCACCGTAGTGACACTGATGTCAACGGAAGCATGTGAACTCATGGCTGTTGTCCCTCCAGGTATTGGCCGCGCTCTCCTACACAACTTTGCAGGGAGGCCGTCGGTGGCCATGGAAGGTGTGAAGGCTGGATACTGCTTCTCCTTCCCCCCAGCCGCCTGCAGGAACGAACAGGTCGCGGGTCCTTCTGCACGTTCACAGCCATCGCCTTACGACCTCCTGATTATCTAGCATGCTGGATAAGCTTTTTCACCAAAACATTTAAACAATGTACGCCCTTTTTAATCCCTTGCTTCACTTTTGTCTTTGAATACATGTTCTTAGACACATTCTTTCTGAACTTTTAACTACAGTTGTAATTCTTTTTGACACTTTGCGTATGAGCAGTTTTTAATCCAGTTTTTAAAAAGATAATCACAGGATTTTTTTTTTCTGCTTCTGCTAATCCTATAATTATATTGTCTTTGTTTCAGACTTTGTGGGTAATGGGCTTTTCTCCTCTTGGTTTTAGAGGGCCACGGTTATTAAACAGATACCTTTGGAGCACATCTGCCTTGAGACAGATTCACCTGCCCTCGGACCAGACAAACACGTGGGTTGGAATCAGGGGCGTCAGAAGCATTTTGAATGTGTGTGGGGGGGGGCACACTGGCATATAACTAATATTTTATTTTAAATGTGGGGGGTCCAAACAAATAATTATGAAATGGTTGGAATGGCGGCGACGTCCATGGTTGGAATGCTGATCAAAGTCAGAATCAGATGACACAAAGTGTCCTTCATGTTCCCAAACTCACAAGATTTCTCGCTCCGACAGGTTCGAAACGAGCCCAAGAACATTGTTCTCTCCTGTGAGTACATTGCTAAAGTGAAGAGCCTCACACCAGAGAAGGTCAGGGAAGCAACTACTTGGAATGCAGTGCGACTGTTTCCCAGAATCGGAAAGATCTTGAACCAAATGACTGAGCCAGTCCTGGAAACAGACCAGCAGAATAAAAAATAAATGTAAATAAAATTATTTTGTCATGTGAATATTAGCACTGTTTCTTACCTGCATAAACTGTTGCCTAAGGATTAAGAGTCTAAATTTGATGCCAGATAAAAAGTTTTAGAAATAGCCTAATCTACAGGTCACAGACATGAAGTTTTTTGTATACAAAAGTGACTTAAAAATCCATATAGTCTTTGAATGGATTGGGTCCCATCATGCTCCGAATCTGAAGTAGCTGGTTGCGAGTCTAATTTAGATGGAGCGGTGAGCAGGGCTGCCAGATCGCACCGAGGTCCAGTACTTTGTTCAGATCCGCTGTGGTCCCATTGCCAGTTATGAGCGCCGGCGTCTTGTAACAGGTCGCAGCTTTAGTTGTCCGGCGTCAAGTCTCCGGTTTCATGGTCGTTTATATAAATATACATATGCTTTATAAAATTATTTCAGTCCCGCTTGCCGGGTGCCATGTCACATATACCGCTCCTGGTTTTCCCGGATCTCCGCACTTCAGATTGCCTCTTGCATACTTCGCCTCCCATCCAGCCCATCCTGTCAGTAGAATAGACAGAAATCGTGATTACTATTTAGTTTCGTCTAACTAAAAGATTAATTCACGTCTCAAACATCCCCTTAGATATTAGGTTTATTTTTCCGTGGGGGCGACCCCTTCAAAATGTGATGTTAATTGAATTATATTTTATTAATTATATGATGCATGCTACTCTACCCTACATCATTATATCAGTGGGTGGCGAAAGTGGATAGTAAACTAAATGACAAAACTCGAAGAATCAGTCCAGTAACCGAGATAATCTCATTCCCTACACAGATTGCTCTTAAAGGGGAAATCGTTCATTAAGGACACGGGTCCAGTTTGCAGTCCTGTTATAGTTACTTCGGTCTACCGTCAAACGGCCTCCGGCACCACTGAGGATGGATCTGTGTTGGGTGGCCTGGATTCTCTTTATTGTGGAAACGAATAGATGTTTCGTTTCCCTTTCGTGATAATTACTTTTGTTCTCCGACATAGTTAATTACTTGTAGCCGACGGGAGTGTTTCTCAGCATGCGCTTCACGCCAGATTCGCCTTATCTGCAAAGAGGACAGTTGGAGGTGGTTGACCAATTAGCACCAATGCAATGTAGCATTCTGGGCTTCCGAATTGCAGTTATTCATATTACACAATCTCTTGAAAGAAAAAAATGAAAGCAGTATGATTTTGCTGAGATGCTTACAACTTTCTTGGAAATGCCGCTTCTCGTGATGCCTGTGGACCTGGGCCACCCAGGCTGATCGCTGATCCAGGATCTTGGCTTGGGGCGAATGGAAATCCCAGGTGTTTCTCAAATGACAGTCAAAGTGTCTCCTCTCCGCGGGTCTCCGCAATTTGCTGTTCACTTCTACTTGACACCACGTTTCTCTTCGCATGTTCAGTTCATACAACGCATCTTCCTTGGCCTTAGACATTGTTGCGGGGTCTTGATGTGCGGTACAAAATGCAAAGTGTGAGTGTGTACCGATATTCAGTGCGGTTACCATGGTGTAAGAAACCTGATTACTTGTGACCATAGTAACAAGATGGAGGTATATGTGGCGAAAGTAGGTGAGAGGTTTCTTACAAGTGATTATATAAATCAAACATTTAAAAAAATTTAAAAAATTAAAAAGTGTGTGATACCTTTAATAGTTGAGACATACCCAGCTTTTATCACCAAGTAGGTTACAAATAGGTTAGTTCCAAATAAAATACAGTAAATATTGCAACTGCATTACCCGTTCAGCAAACGGCAAAAACTACAATTTAATACATTGTCCAGCAACTCCATTTTGACATTGCTTGGCGGTTCACTATTTATGATAGGGATCTCGCGGCGCTGAAGGTGATTGGCTGATGGCGCTATCGGACGGCTCTGTAGCGTGCGAGTGCAGTCAGCCAATCCGAGCGCGAGCGAAAGCGGATGCGCCGCCTGTTCTGTTACTACCAGAGCGAAACGTGGAGGAGTTTCGACGTCTATGTCTGTGCCGGCATCTGTAATTCCCATGCACCGCTCGTGTGGGACATAACACCATCATTTACTGTACTTGTTGGGTAAATATGCAGTATAATTCGTACCAAAATGTCCTGTAATCTGCTATAGGGTACTGTACTTAATCTCGTTAGACCAGAGGCGCTTCTAAGAGCATCTTGGGACATCGTGAGGTATGTGAATATTATATCTATATTAATTTCCATTGTCGGTTGTGGTTTTCTTTTCACAATGTTCAGGTTTGTTAAGTCGACATTGTACCTTTCCCAGGCTGAATTGGAAGCGCATGACGTAGGGATTCGCACGATCGACCATCATGGTGGCTGAGATATTACAGAACCATATAAGAAGTGGCAGCGCACCGGGCGGCGATGACACAGCTTCCACGGCGCTGGAGCCGAACGGACCGCAGGATGCCAGTCAGTATTCAGGTGTATCAAACGGACCTGTTCACCTGACCTTACCCGGCTCTAAGGAATCTGAACAGGAGATACCTCCCGATGAGAAACAGGCTATGCTTCCTGGTGGACAGAAGCCACTGCAAACTAAGCTTTATTTCAGACGATTTGCCGTTTTAACGGTGTTCAGCCTTTATTCTCTCGTCAATGCCTTCCAGTGGATTCAGTACAGCATCATCACCAATATTTTCACCGCTTACTACAACGTGCCAAACGATAACATCGACTGGCTGTCGATCGTCTATATGGTTGCATACATTCCGTTGATCTTCCCAGCTACTTGGTTACTAGATAAAAAAGGATTGAAAATTACTGCACTTCTGGGTTCCGGTCTGAACTGCATCGGGGCGTGGTTGAAATGCGCCAGCGTGAGACCCGATCTTTTCGGGGTGACGATGACTGCGCAGATTATCTGTTCCCTTGCACAGGTGTTCATCCTCGGACTGCCGTCCAGGATTGCATCAGTGTGGTTTGGACCTAAGGAAGTGTCCACTGCCTGTGCAGCAGCTGTACTAGGCAATCAGGTCTGTAAAGGTGATGAGTATCTCACCATCCTAATTTCAGGTCAAGCATCCTTTCATTACCATATTACTATACCATTTTAATAGTTATTCTATGAAGTGTCACATAATAATTTATCATGCATTTCAATTTTTTTTATATTTCTGTTGTAAAGATACCCAACATTTATAGCTTTATAACACCATTTGCATTTCAGTATAGAACTTAGTGGCTCTAAATCACTTTTTGGACAAAACTGGTCAAACATTTATTAATTCCACTGGAATCTCTGCTTCTTTCCCAGCTGGGTGTAGCAGTGGGTTTTTTGCTGCCTCCAGTTCTGGTGCCCAATACGCCAGACGACAAAGATCTGATGGGCTCCAACATCAGTATCATGTTCTATGGAACGGCGATAGTTTCAACGCTGCTCTTCTTTTTAGCAGTTGTCGGTGAGTGATTTATCTGTGATTGGGATGGGGGTATTCCTATCATATCAGTCCTGGGTTTATGATGAAACACCAAGGAAAAAGCAGCGATTGCCACGTATCTGTATGCTTATCTGCTGTGAAGCTGATAATTCTGATCGATATCAGTGACGGCATCCATTGGACTACAGGTGACCTACACTGGGATGTGGGCTGTCATGGTGAAACACAAGGCACTTTTGAGGTTGTTATCCTGACCACGTTCCTTTTTATCTTTTATTCTCAAGTAATTAAAGACAGACCTCCCATGCCACCAAGTCATTCTCAGGCAGTTCTTCCCGATGTTCCCGCTGAAGATTACTCCTACAAGCAGTCAATCATTAACCTCTTCAAGAGCAAGCCTTTTCTCTTACTTCTCATCAGTTACGGTGAGGCTGCCAAGAGTTCATATTCCTCTTGTCTGAGATATTAGGGCAGAATTAATTTGATAAAGAACACATTCTTTTCCAAAATGTGTTATACAGGCTTTGAATGTAAAGAGAGAATTTACTTTCTGTGATAGGCGATGCAGAATACATGCATCACAAAAAATGCAAACGTATTTGAATAGTCAAATGAACTCAATATGCAAACTGTTGGGACTCAATATGCATGATAAACTTATTTTGCCTTAACTAGACTTTAACTGTGTACAAGTGTCTTCCAGTCAATCTGAACAGAACTGTCTATATCTGTCATCTCTTAGGCATCATGACAGGATGTTTCTACTCTTTATCAACGCTGCTGAATCAGATGATTTTGACACATTATGTGGTATGTGGAACTGCACTTGCTGAGCCCTGAAATTGTCCTTTGCTGTGTGGAAAAAGATGCTTAGCTGTAATTGGCCCAGGGGCTTATTCTGGGCAGACTAGGTTGTCATTGCAGGTTTAATGCAAGGGCTGAATTCTTTGTACTTTAATTCGTTTAATCTGTTCTTATGCATGCCTGGTGTTCATGTAGGGGAGAGCTGGAAAAAAGACAAAAAGTTTTTTTTTTTTTTTTAAATGAAGGCAAAATCCAGGATTTTTTTGTTGCATCCTCACCACATAGCACCTGGGACCAGTGCCGAGTTCAGGGTTTAAATAATCAGTTGCTGGCACAGCAGGAACATGTGCCAGATGGTCATATACGCTAAGATCTGTTCAGCAGCCAATCAAATCTGGCATCGCTCACCCTTGACCTCAGAGTGAAGATGAATCAAGCCAATTAACAGCAATATTTTAATTTAATAATTGCATCATTCTGTTTTAATTTATAATTTGAAGTGTTTGATTAACAGGAACTAAAATGTTTTACTTTGAAGACGTACTGAATACTAATTGTAAAAACCAAACTGTGGACGCTAACTTGTCATGGGCATTGACTGATTGGATGATTTTTTTTTTTCCCTCCCCTGACATGAGATCATTATCGCACGCCATATCTATACTGAACACACCTAGGGTGGAGCAGGGAGCCCTGCTTTGCTCAGTATGCATTGTGTAGGGAAGGTTTTGTGTTTTTTTTTTTTTTCTTTTTCATTTTGTGGCTGAGCTTGAAGTTCTGATGTGTGGATGAATCGCGGATGCTAACTTGAGCACTTCATCCAGGGCCAGGAGCTGAACGCTGGCAGGATTGGCTTAACCCTGGTCGTGGCGGGTATGCTAGGCTCCATAATCTGTGGGCTGTGGCTGGATCACACTAAAACCTACAAGTATGTATCTTGTGCATCTGCTTGCGTGTGGCTCATCTCTGCATACACTCACCTACCGCTCCCCCAACCCCCCGCCTCCATGACCTTAACACTTGTGTTCAGTTCTTGCCACTTAGCATGCAAAGAATGAATGAATAAAAGTTTTGGCCTGCTGTAGCATCTGGGATTCATAGACTTCAGACTTTGGATTACTGGGATTCAGGCGTAGTAATCCAAGGAGTGTCTTGATGTTGTACCCTGAACTGCTGCTGAATTGTTTTCAATGAGAAGGACAGGTTTATAATGGATTGCATGCAAACTCCAAGTTAGATGTCTTTGTAGTCAATAAACACATCCGATTAAAAACTACAATAAATGATGGGAAGGTTCCATGCAGGCACATAGCATGAGTAAGCCTCTGTTCCTGGCTTTCTTGCCTCTTCACTGTCCTGCTGGTTTGCTAACCTTCCCCATCCACTCTCCTAGGAGCTGTGGGCCTTGCCTGTGCACAGCATATCGTTTTCAACAAATTATGAGCTCTTAACTTGCCTTCTCAGATTTATAAATGTTTCTCCTGACAGGGTAGACTAATCAGCATTTTTGTCAATAGGATTTACTCTATACTCATTCGATTTTTCTGCTCATGAAATGAGTCCAGCACTGGTTGAATGCTGACAGATTTGAAAAGCTAACCGTTGACTTCCTTTGGACGGTGTTATGTCCTTAATTCTGATGTGGACTGTATGCATTTCTCTTGGTGTTTCAGAATGACCACTCTGATAGTCTATATCCTCTCCTTCATTGGAATGGTGGTCTTCACCTTCACCCTGAACTTGGACAGTATCATACTGGTCTTCTTTACAGCGGGAGTGCTGGGGTGAGTCTGAGGGTGTAGGGGAGCAGCTATCTTCAAGTCTTCAGTAAGGGTAACAGACATGTCATATAAGATCTACCACTGGCCAGTTGACTCTTGGCACCTGCGGTCCTGGCAGCACAAATCGCTTTCATAGGTTTTCAAAAGTGGTGTTTAGTAATGGTCAAGTCTGGCCTTTGTAAATATGGTTGGTATGTTGTAGATGTTAACTTCTGTTTATTATTATAATTTTTCCTTAACAGATTTTTCATGACTGGTTATCTACCACTGGGGTTCGAGTTTGGCGTTGAAATTACGTACCCAGAGTCAGAGGGAACATCGTCTGGTCTCCTAAATGCATTTGCACAGGTAATAAATCTACAGGTGCTTCAGCAGAAGTCTTACAATGCATGCCTCATTGATTGTAGTTTTGGTGACATGTAAATTATGAAATATACAGTTATTACTGCAGCCTCACCTATCCAGGTGTTGTGCACCTTACAACATCTGTTTACTTTGAGCATTATTTAAATGCAGATGAGCTCGCATGCATATCTTGCATACAGAATCAAGACTTTTAGTAATTAATAAAACCTCAAGACCAAGACCTTAACGTGAAATGCATCCATATAGCAAGAAAAGTTTTTTTGCAAAAACAAGTGCATTGTGGGTAGGTTTTATGTTAACCTGCTTTGTGACAAAAACAAAAGGTTTATGGGGCAAATTTAAAGTAGGTGTCTGGTGCTTGATGGATGTTTCTGGTCTCACATCTTGGTTCTCCTTGTTCCCTCAGCTGTTTGGGATCATTTTCACTTTGATCCAGGGAAGGATAATGACTGATCACAGCCCCTTGGCTGGGAACCTGTTCTTGTGTGTGTGGATTTTCGTGGGCATCATTCTGACAGGTAATAGCCCTCATTTGCCTGGTGGCTCTTGTAAACTGGTTCTGCAGCTCCGAATTCTGTCTGACCCTCCCATAGGTGTGATGGTTTTAGTGATTACAACCTGTTTAACTTAAACATTTACCTTGGCTGTTTCCGTTGTGTAATTCAATACATTTCTTCTTCCTTCTCTACATATATGTGATTTCTCAGCAAATTTAGTGTTCCTCAACTTAAAAATTAAGCAAAATATGTGATTGGCATGCTTCATTACAAAGTAGAAATATTTTAAATCTTGAGCTTTAACGAAAAAAAAAATTTACCTTTAAAAACTCATGAACAAATTTAAATGATTGCTTCCAAAAAAGCTTTGTTACTTATTGGTTGTAAATGTTACATCTGCAGTTAGGCGAATTAGCATCTCAGAATTGCCCATAGTGTGTAATTGTAGTTTATATGTGACCTTGGGTAGACTAGAATTCCATCCAGGATCCCGCACTTCCAGCAAACCTCTACAGGACAAGCAGTTGAAAGATCATAGCAGGGATATTTTTTAAAAACTTGTATGTAGTATTCTGATTGCTGCCTTAGGTCTGGTGCTAATGCTAATTCATGTATTGGTTCAGGAAAGCTAACTGTCAAGAGCCAACCTTCAGGAAGTTTCAAATTGTACATAGTATCTGTTGTTTCCCTGAACAGTTCCTGAACTAGGTCTGCAGTTATACGTAATGCTCCTCTCTTAAGATATAGCTGTGTTTTTGTGCAAAGAATCACCCAAGTCAGGTTTCATCATTATAAGACTGCAACTTAAGGCTCAAGGGTCTCAAATTGTAAACTTTACAGAGAGTTTGAAGCATGCAGTGAGTTACAGTGAATAACAGATTTTCATATATAAGTTTAAGTAATATGATTTAGAGTACATCTTTTTAGTTTGAGTTACTAGAATAATTTTAAACTCTGATTGTGTTGCTACATGTTCTTCTATCTGCTGTGTTTTCTGAGTTAATGCTGCTTCTGATCTGTACAATGAACTTTAAGCTCTATGAAACTTTTGCCAGATGAATGCTGTGGGGTTTTGTAATCAATGTGTTTTTTTAATCTCTTTGTTCAGCCTTGATAAAATCAGAACTGAAGAGACACAACATGAACAGCAGCAACGACAAGAAAATTCTGCAAGCAGTAAGTTGGGGGTTTTTTAATGGGATGCTATGGTGACTTTTAGTGTTACTGACCAGCTACTCAGCCTGAAAAACACACTTTATTTGGTTATAATCATAATCTGCAACCCCTGAATGCTGTACGGCGTGATATATGGCTTATTTTTGGTTGCTTGGCACATACTTTAATCTGCTCATACTTTCGTGTTTTTAGACTTCATTGATTTATCTGGGAATTTGACAGGCAAACTTGGCAAGGAGACATTTGCCATAAAGTACTGGGTGTTTCCTGGGACTTGGACCAGCAGACTTGCGGTCAGGCGTCTAGTTCTTTAATTACAAATGGATCAAACGTCATATAAGTAATTCCAAATAATAATAGTGAAAGAGGCTTTAACAGACACATTCATTCAAAATAAAAGCTGAGGTGCATCTGGACAGAGGTGCCTGTGGTCAGAAATGCTGCTGGGTTTTCAGCCTGGAGATTTACGCGTCAAACCGTAACGTTGCATCACCTGAAAAGAACTTTTCTTTTAATTAAAAATACTTTAGGCTCACTAAAACATACTTTTGTTCCCTGAATCTAAGAAACCGGTTTCAAAGGTATTTTAATTACCACACTGCCACAGCAGGATATATATTAGCTGGAACAGGATTGAATTTTTTTTATTGGCTAGTAGCTGCATTTAACTGGAATTCTGCTTGCTCCCTACCAGTATTCTAAAGGTAGTATTTTAAAGGGGGTTTCGAAGGTGTATCTCTCCTCCAGAGAAAGTCCTTGCTTACAGGACGGCACAGTGATGCACTGGAGTAGATTGGTGGGTCTGGGGCATATCTGGTCTCACATTGCTGCACTTCTTTATAAGGGACTCCACAACAGCTGATCTGGCAAAGTGAAATTTGAAGATGCATTAAGGAGACTCCTTTCTCTCCTCTCTTATGATTGCTTCTCCAGGTCTCCACTGAGTGTCCTTCAGATAAACCATCTGACGCCATGACCCAGGTCTCGTCGCCAGACTCTCCTGAGACTTCAGTTTAGGGATTCCTCCACAGTTTCACGTCACATCAATAGGCCACAAGGCTGCAGATTATTTAAAACTGTTTTCGATTGTATTGTCTTTTTATTTAATGAACGTGTGTATTTATGCGTGTGGGTAAGTGGTTTGTTTTGCAGCGCACAAGAGGTTCCAAGAGGGATCTCACTGACCACTATTAGCTGCTTGCTGGTCCAGGCTTCACACTGTACAAAAAAACAAAATGTGCTTTTTTCTGTTTTTAACACAATTTTTTGGTGAAAGCACAAGTTTAACTGGCTGTCGTGTCTTACTCTGTTTCATAGTCCGGTTTCTTGGCTGTGGTGGTATTTATTTCGTAATTTGGCTTCATTTCTATGGGTCCTTCGTAATCTGTTCCTCTAATCAAAAGCACTCCAAATTGTGTTTGAGACAATCTGCAGTTATGAGAATACATGATCCTCCTAATTAGCACAGACTGTATGTCCGCAGAAGCAGAAAATGATTATTACCTTTGTCATTCACAAAGGCCTAAAAAGCACAGAGCCCCCACCCTATTTCAAAAGGGCAAAATGGGTGCCACCTTTTTCCAAATTTTCCCGGGGGAGGTCATAAGTACTGGTCCATTTAGTGCTGGGACTATAACTGGAAAAGTATTTTTCGGTTGGACTGTGAAGGATTCAACCATATAAGACTGAGGGTTGCAAGTGCACAGCAATAACGTTCAGTTGGTTGAAGGTCACACATGCTCCCATTGGCTGTGTGGCTGGTCCTACGCCTAGGGCTGGAATGTAAATTGCTGAATGGCAGACATTTTGATGCTTGTGTGTTTGCACCTTGATCCTAACAGGGTTGATAAAAAATTGCTGTACAAGGACAAGAAGTCAGAGATAGGAACTTCGTAGCGTTTGATATCTGTCAGAACACAAAAAATAAAACTCTTTGCTCAGCGAATCCATCTGTCTTTGTTTTCTTTAACTCAAATCTGGGGCATGGATGCCCCTTATCAGAAGGGGAGGGTTCAGTTCCTGCAGGAGCAGAGTGTTATCACCATTGGGCCCTTGAGCAGGGCCCTAGAGCAAGGCCCTTAACTCCATCTGCTGGAGGGACTGCCTCTCTGCTCCGATTCTAAATTTGTAAGTCACTTTGGATAAAGCATCCACTATGTAAGTTAATGTAATGTACATATTCCTCGTTTAGGAATATACTCAAAATCGCATAAATTTTCCCCTTGATCGTTTCACTAGAAACATCGTAGAGAATGATTGTATATAGCAATCAAACTGGTGAAAAAGTACGGCATTTCGCTTTACATTATGCTTTACAACAGTGCCCTCATGTGACGCGGGGTAAAATTACCATAAAACGTAATTAATAAATAGGTACCACTGAACAAGACTACCTCTATAAAGGGTTTATGAATGGTTTATATTCAGGTTATTAGTTAGGTTGTAACAATTTGTAAATCGTCAATTGACATTTATGAACAAGTTCTAACAGTTTGTTTAATAAGTTACTAACATTTATAAATATCAAAAGGGAACCTTATTGTAAAGTCGTACCAGGAAATGTATTAGTTACGTTCATTACTATGGAATACACAAATTTGGTTCATTGTACAGCACTGCAACAAAACTGTAACAGAAAATAGCTTTTTATTTGCCAAAAATCAATCCATCCATTCGTCTTCTCGTTGCTTATCCATGACACAGAGTCACCGTATTCAATCAATATCTTACCCAAGAATTATAGTTATATATATCCAATGAGGTGTAATAACTGAGACCCAATACCTTTTGCTGTCAGAGTCTGCAGCTGGATATTATTATAAATGAATAGAATTCAAGTACAAAACAACATTTTTCTTTACTCAACATAATAATGACACAGCGACGTCAGAGGAATCGTGTTTGATCTTCGAAATAAAATAGTGATTGCAATATATAAAAGCAGATAAACGGCAATAATCCATATTACGTTATGTACACAGCAGACCCTGAAAGTAAATGTTTTAGAATGAAGACTGGAAATCTTGTGGGCGCGTATCTTTTCCAGTGTTTTCTGTAATGTGTTGGTGCAAACGACGATCTCTTGGGCAAACATGGTTATTAATATACAAATCACGCATGTGAAGTCAATCAAATGTGTTCTTAAAAATAAACGATGACAGTCAGGTGCACAGTATAAAAATAAATGAACCAAGCATGACTAGGATGGTCACCCTTCTATGCTTTTCCCAAATCATTCTGGAATTTGATAATCTGTTTTGGAAAAATTAATTCTATTTTGGGATACAAAATGTTTCGTAATTCGATCATTTTTGGGTGTTATACTTGTATTAGTACCGTTTGTGAAATGTAAATTAATTTTGATGTCTTTATCCAAACAAATCATTTCTAGAAACGAAATGTTTTATCTGTTTAGATTACAAGCATGCATAGCAACAGCTATTGCCGGATCGCTATCCTGTAATAAAGCAGGCTGACAAAGTTTACGGAACCGAAACAAGAGTGGTCTTCGCTCAATAGAACACTAACATTTCATAATGCTTACTGATTAGTCTTTTAACAAAGCACTTAAGTGGTTTGAGGATAACTTTAGAAAATCCACTTAGGGCCCACATGTGTTGTACATATGTCTTGATGGAGGCCCTTTTGCAGTGGAGTTAATCAGACTCTTGCAACACAACTTGACCTGGCAATTTAAGTGGACAAACTCTATCATGATGTCAGTATACTGAAAATCGTCATTCCAAAAGAAATGGTCATTCATTTAAAGCAAAGAAAAACAAACAGTGGAATTACACAAGACTGTCCCATATGTTTTTAAAATTGTGAGTAGTGCTTATTGTGAATGTGTGCTTAGTTACATGGGTCTGTAGTCTGATCACTGGAAGTTATAAGCTTAAATTGTAAGGACTTAACTTCAAAATGTGTGCAGGCAAAAAAAAAAAAAAAAGGAAATACACACGGAAATGGTGTAGAAATTGCAGCCTACAAAGTAGAGTTATCAGGATTAATTTGACCGGATCTATTTTGTTGTAAGAGACATGGAATAAGCTATTTTAAAGTGTACATTACATTTTATGACTATATTATTATAGGGCTGTGGTGGGCTGGCACCTTGTCATGGGTTGTTCCCAGAATAAGCTCCAGACCCGCACAACCCTGCACAGGACAAGCGGGTACAGAAGATGGATGGATGGATGGATTATGTTGGGTATGCCTACCTGCTGTTTCAGATTAATGTAACTGACCTTCCAAAGAATTTCAATAAACAACTAAGTTATTTTTAGCTGGCAATGAGATTTTGATTTCATTTGTACGCATTTTTACCATGGTCAATGCCATCATATGTGAAACAGGAGCACATTCTCCGTGACAGGCTCTGAGTCAATGCCATTTTCCAGGAAATGATTCTCTCATTGTTTTCACAGTTTGATGAAGGCAGCCAAACCCATTCATTAACTCCGCTCTCTTACTGGAAGATCATTTAGGGAGCATGTCCATATATTGACAGCCACTATCTTTTATATCCATGAGTTGATTTTTCTTCACTCTTTAATAAAGAGAGGAAAACTCTTTTATTGAATTTGAGTCTCTTATTAGCAGATAAGAGAAGGTTGATATATTGATGGCAAATTTCTCTTATATTACCTTATATTTCATTAATTTCATTTTAGCTGTCTGAAAAGCTATGATTGATGTGAAATAAAATGCATTAACACACACACACAAACACACAAACACACACACATACAAATGGTCTCTGTATTAATCTGGATAGCAAAATTGTAGCCATGGTGTTTATAAGGGAACACAATACAAGTCATTTTAAATCATTTTCTGTTTTGTAAAGATTGAAGGCCTTACAGGAAGACCAGCCAAGAAAGGCAGAGAAGTGAATATAAAACAGATCATCTGCAGAACATCTTAAATGTTACCTTTAGAATCATAAGGGATTTCTTCGCAACATTATGAACCATTGGCTCAAAATTGGCCATGGGGTAGCTTAGATTAGGCTCAGATATACATCTAAAATACTTATGTGGCCACATTAATAGAACTGTGCAAATAGATTAGATTAATATAAAAAATGAAAAAAAAAAACATCAAAATAATTGTCTCAGTGGATGACTGGAGTGGAGGCAACTGGGCTAACAAGAGGGGCAAGGTGTGGAACATCAGACAACCAATCACAGAGGGCGCAGGACAACGAGCAGCGGATGGAACAATTAACAAGCACTGAACCTAGAAAACCCAAACCACAAACTGGGAAGGATGACAACAAGGAACAAAAATATAAACAGGACTAGAAGAGAACAGGATACAAGCATTGCAAACCTGGGAAAGGGAAACAAATGGAAAATAAACACTACGGAAACAGAAAACAAAATAAGAGATGACTGGAGGGGCAACAGTCTCTGAGCCACAAACTCAACCCACTGAGCTAAGCGGCAGTCTGGGGAAGAGGGGAAGCACATTAGGAAGGGAAGGAAACAGAGAGGAAGACAAGATGGCCAGTGACACCTGCTGGCCAAATGGGGAGGAGACACGAAGGGCAGGGCCGGATGGACGCTGACCCTGACACATTTATTTGTTGATCATGGCCTGGATTGTCATTGAATGTTTTTCTTGTATCATTTGTCTATCACTTACAGTTACTTATTTCTGGTCATTTACGGGGTGTGCAGCAATTCACAGGACTAAATCCCCCCTGTTTGCACTCTACCTCGCACCTTAATTGCACAGTGTTACCCACGTGTGTATATTTATAATTTTTCACATTTGTATTTCTTCTATAGTGTAATTTATGGTTTGTATAGTGTCGCTTATTGTCTGTGTATGAAGTCTCAAGCTGCAGAAAACAAATTCCTTGTGTGCCCCAGCACACTTGGCGAATAAAAGCTGATTCTGATTCTGATTCTGATTAAGCCGTTCAGACCCGACTTTAGTCTTTCTCAGCCAGACTGTAGCTTGTTTATTGGAATCTACAAGCATTACAAACTAGGAACATATCATTCTGCCCAGTGGGGCTTGCCAGCAACAGCTCCCATGGGTACAGATGAGGTAGTATCTTTATAAGGTGCCCGAATCATGTCAATTCACTCTTCTCGATCCAAAGGAGCAGTATGTTCCTATTTGAAGGTTCCATCTGGATCTCTGAACTCCTCATCCTGTCATGACGAGTGAGCCGGCACCCCTGTGGAGAATCCTCATTTCAGCCCTCGTTCATGCGGTCATCATCCACAGCTTATGACCGTAGGTGACGGTCGAGGTATACAGGGCATTGACCAGAAGACTTAAGACTCATCATGAACCTCGTCAATGGCTGCTGATCTGGACGTGCTGATTCTCATCCTTCCCGTTTAAGTTCGCATGCAATATAAAACGAGAACCGAACAACATTTAGGTCAATCTGCTCTGTTCAAATAATTGCGGGAAAGTAAATGCTGAGGGTCAAATGAGGACATGGTGATAACACGTTTGCCACTTTGCAAACCTTCCAGAAGGGGGCATATCTGTATTTCCAAAAAGAGTTCAGAAGCCTGATTTTACTGGATTTCTCCAACAAATGCAGGTTTTGATGTGCATTCTTTGTTTGCTCCTTTTTTTTTGGTAATTCAGCCATATCAGTTTATCACTTTGTTTACTCTGCGTTATAGTGCATTACAAATAATTTCATGTGTATCCCCGTACAACCATATAATTTGACGCAAAAGCCCAATTATGATTCCTTAAAAGATTTCATTTTAAAATGGGAAAATTACATGCTGTTCATGTTTAATTTCTCCTGTACTATGCCTGTGTGAATCAGCAGCGTCATGTTTGTCATTTTGACACTGATACCAACACAGCAGCTCAGTCGGGACCTGTACGTGTTTATTGCCTCGACTGTCTGTGTGGGTTTACATATTTTCTTTGCGTCGTGCGGGTTTCTCCCCACAGACCAGCTAGATTAATTGGCATTATTTACATTTACATTTACATTTTTATTTAGTAGACGCTTTTGTCCAAAGCTACGTACAAGTGAATTGCTAAATTACTCATATTGGCGATTGTGTTAGTGTCCGTCCTGCGATGGATCCCTTCCTTGGTGTACCCCTGCTGAATGCCTTATGTGTCCTGGGTAGTCTGGAAGATACTCCGGTTGCAAGCATGGATACGTATAATGTACTGGCTGTGCACATGTAAGAATTCTGACCTTGCAAAAAATAAGTAGCAGTATTCACCCAGTCTTGTAGTTGCAATAGTATATAGAACACTGTAATTGTAACACATATATAAAATAATGGGGTTCGTGAGCATCGCTGCAACTGTCTCAAATGGCGCAGGCATGATTATGTTAGGACTCGAGAGATAATTACATCGGCATTATAAAAACCCATTAGATTCCAAAGCGTTGGTCTACTTATATTGGCCACACCCTTATCCGGAGGAAACACCAATTACAACAAGAGGTGATTTCCTTATATGGGAAAAAGTCGGTCAAAACCCGCCTCTCTTTGTTGCCACCACCAATGAGAGACGCCAGAGCGCGGCAGGCTGTCGGGTTACAACGGGTAGAATAACATAAATGAATAAATTTAGTCAGCTACAGATTAACCATCTGATGGATTTGCGGCGCGTTCACAGCTGGACAGTCCCGACAAGTCTGCGGATCTGGCTTCGTCAAAGGGTGAAATAACGCTGGACGTAGTTTAAGTCGAGAGCAGCAGCAGCAGCAGCCCAGAGTCCCCGCATCGCTCCGAACAATGCAGATGAAGTTACGGAGCCTTTTCTAGTTGCTAGCTAGTTGGTTGACGCTAAACCGCCAGCCAGCGTTATTAAATGACTATCTGTGGCTCCCATACTAAAATGCACGAATGCAGTGTTTGCTCCGTATTCTTTTGCATGCCTGAACTTATTTAAGCTTATCCGGGATCAGGTTCAGCTTATAGAAATATTTTAATCCGATTGTCAAAATGAAAATTTGTATATTATACGGACATATATCATGTATATTTTACAGCATAAGAAAATAATGTTTCTTTTAGATTTCTCTTTTATGCGTTCTTAGATAGGTTAGGGATAGTAGCTGTTTGTATTCTGTTGGCATTTAATCAGAGAGGTGCAGATGTCAGTTTTGCACTGGAAAATGTTTATTCGCCTGTCTTGCTGAAGAGGGGGGATGCTTACTGCTCGTCTGCCCTGACGAGACCAAATAGTCCAGCCTGAACAATGACCGGACCGGGCGCCTCGGGCAGCTGCTCCGCGGCGGCAAAAATCGGCAGACGCGGCCGCTCCAAAAGCACCAACGCGCACCTGAACTCCGTCTCCGGCGCCGAATCCGCTGCCAGCGGTGCCGCCAACACGGGTCGCTCATCGGGGGAAGAAGAGGAGAAGGACGGGGGCGCGCTGTTCTACGTCAACAGGAGCGGCTTTCCCATCGAAAGTGTGACCTGGGAGCGAATGTGGAGCCATGTGGCCAAAGTGCACCCCGATGGAAAAGAGATGGTGGACAGAATCCGGAACGCTGCCTACCTCCCAAAAGTGAGTGAACAGAAACAGCATTCTGTCATTGTTATCCTCATACCAATTTTTTCTTCATTAAGCTAGTTAAGATGATAATAATAATAATAATAATAATAATAGTTGTTGTTGTCGTTATGTTTTATATTACTGCACTGCACACGAAGCTCTAAATTAAGTAACCCCTCTTCAAGCACATAAACCTGTCACCTTTTTGAGAATCACACAGTGATAACCCCAAATGACAGCGAGAAACATTCCAAGAAATACTACAATTGGGCCAGGAGTGAATTTAACAAACAAGACTCCTGTGGTCATGCTTGAACTAAGCATAACTCGGAAAGAAACCATACGGATTGACAGGGGTAAATGCCAATGTGCCTCCCCTCCCCCTAGACAGACAAGATGACATACATGACAAGACATACATGACAAGATGAGATGTCAAGTTAAACGGGTCATGCGAGTGATGTTAGCGATGAGAGGACTGAGAGAGACACTTTGAGTAGGGAAACATGTGTCAGAAGCATCAGGACACAGTTTTTGTAAAGTGGGCCATTAAGGATAATGTATGGCTCCGTTTGACAGCCCTGACAGTTTTACTGTCGAAACAGCACATGTAGCTGTATATAAGACTACTTAGCTAATGCGCTAGTATTTATTAGCTAATATTAGCCAAAATGTCTAAGGCGTCATTGTGTTAACTACAACAAAGATTCCTGTGAGCTTGTTCCTTCACCCATTGTCTTCAGAACAAGCGGTCGCATATTTTGTCACTCCGGCTAATTAGCCAGACTGCAGCCTGTTGAGACTGATTTATTATAGGACAGGTAGCTCCACATGGTGCTTTTAACCCAGCAAAGCAAAGAGCTACATTGTCATTGTTTGTCTGTTAGGTTCTAGAACCTGGATCACAATTGGTCCCATTAGAGAAAGATCAATTAAAACACATAATTATATGGAAAACAGTCTTCTCTTGCTATATTTCATTTCTAAATTACTGTATTTTTACTCTGCCCTGGCATTGTAGCTAACTACAGCCGATGGTTTCCATTAACGGCGATAAAATATTTATGACCTCAGACCAAAGTTTCTCACTGTGCTTTTTAGCTTACAAGTTATATGTAATTGTATCCTTGTAATTGTCTTGTGTTGGCTTGATAACCCTTTAAATGGCATAGATTTTCTTTGGCCGATTGTCCCCTGTGTCTCGAAGATGACCTTTTGATCGGAGTCAGTGTACACTAATATATTCTTACTGAATCTGTTTCCTTAACAACATTTGGTGGGAATTTAGAGAAACGCATATGGTTGAAGTTTCTCTGCGGCTCCTGCTTATCAGGTTTGCGATCTACGTTTAGTCAGCAGTCTGATCTTCTTAAGGGGATTGTCTACAGGTGACACTGGGCAAGGATAAATTCCCAAAGCTTCACTGTCAGCTGACTGACATGTATTCACCGGTGGCTGCTGGACTGATGCATCTCAAGTTTCTGTAGACTAGTCCCAGAATGGGTTTGGCTTTGTCCTATGGCTGCTTAACTGCCCTGCATGGAATCTCACATTAGTGTACAAAAAACATTTGTTGTCAAGCTAGTTTAGAGGTTTGTGGAAAGAATGTCACACAGGTTTTGTTTTTACAGAAAAATAAAAAAGAGAAATTCTTTTTAAAAAAATCTCTGGAACACTGGTGCCCAAATGAGAATCTCACTGGCTGTTTTTGGGGAGACACTGTTCTACAGGAGTTGGATGAAAACATGTGTTACCACCCAGACTCTAATTATGTAATTGTTGATCATAAGTCTTGTTTGGGCAAGTATTTTGGGCTGTAAATAAAATGTAGCAAGTAGGAATGGAACTGTGGAAACATTGCGGTTCATTGGGTAGGACTGTTGCCTCACATCCAGGGTTGAAGGAATAAATCCAACCCTCACTCTGTGTGAGTTTTCATGTTCTTTTCGTGTTTCATAGGTTTCTTCTCACAGTCCAAAGACTTGCAGTTAAGCAAAGTGGTGTTTCACTTACTGCACCCTACTAATTTGACGAGCTTCAATTTACGATTGCGTTTGCTTAGTAGACAATTTTGTGCAAAGGGATGTACAAGTGAGGGTAAGAGAGCAGGGTCGGCCAATCCATGGAGCCATTGGGGATCAGGGTCATCCTCAAGGGCCCAGGGGTGATATCATTCTTCCCGGTACGGGATTTAAGTGGCAATCTTCCGGTAACAGGCCACACCCACCAAGCAACACATCACTCATATATATAGGCAGGTCGTCTTATACACATTTACTGAAAAAAAGTTCATTCTCTCCAGAGCAACTTACAGCCAGATGTAATTCTATACTCTCATTCCAAGCATAGGAAGTTGTATATTCTAGAGACTGACATTAAATATAATGTTTATAAGGAATATACAGAAGCCGTAATGCAGCCAGGAGCTGTTGGTGTGTAATAGGAGCTTCTCTCGGGTCTCGGGTAGATCTCCTAGGAATGCATAGCTGCCCCCCAGAAGGGGAGGAGCCTACACCCTGTCAGCTGGAGATGTACAATGTATTGGTTACTGTATCAGCCAATCTTTGTTAAGAATTAAGACATCAGCATCAGTCCGATTCATCAGTCCTCATCAATATTGCCGTCCGATATGTTGACTTCAGTTAATATTTAAAGGCAGCACTAATGCTAATGACATGGCTGGTAAAATAATAGAGATGATTGCATTAGATGGTCAGCCATTTTTCTTGATGGAGGACGAGGGACTTCAACGGACTGAGTCACCATTTAGAAGAGGTCTCAAAGTCCTGGCACGCCAGTGAGATCAGGCCACAAACATAATGAAGTGACATGATTCTGCTAATCAGCTCCATCAAATTTGGCAAATCTCACTGCCGGCACAAGTTATCTGTGTTAGTTCAAATTTTCACATTGGTGCACCACTACCACCATCCATGACATCATCTGAATCTGAGCTATAATTCCATCATGTGGGCAACATCTATGGATCGCTGTCACCCCAAAGGTTGTTTTGCACATGGCTAACATCCTTTCACGAGGGGTTTGGAGCACATTTGTCCTGTTGGCCTGTGACCAGCATTGTTCCCAGATGCCAGATGTGTCTGAAATCTGCGAGACCTGGAAAGAGCTGCTTTTCACACCCTGTCAGTTGAGGTTTTTCTTTTTTTTGACGCACACCTAAGCCCAGATGCTTTTTGCCGCGCCAGTCTGCTTGCACCCGTTTCCATGGCTTGAAGATGCGCGGGAGGAGGGTTGGTCCTGGTAGACAACCTACTAATTACAGGATGGGGGGTGGGGGGGAATAAGTGAATGTTGCCAAACGCTAACGGTTTGCGTTAAAAACAGGTCATGGAATGTGAGGCGACCAGATTGTTTCCTTCCGCGAGTAAGTTTTCTCTTTCTGTCTGAGGCATTAAGTCTGCCGTTCTGCTAATCTTCAGGATAGCTGCTGAAACGGACCATAAGGAAGAGCTTCAGAAGGAAGCCTTTTCAAACCCCTTTAACGTCTCTGATCTTGTTCTTCAAAAGGTCCGGAAAGCAGGGTGATGAATCAGTTTTTCTTTCGCCTAACGCGCCGTTCTCTATTGGCCTGTATCTGGCTCCTCCTTTCAGTTGTTAAATCGCTGTTGGACTGACCAATGGGGCCAGTGTTCTGTGATCTATGGATTTTCACAAAGATCGATCCCCTTTCTCATTTGAGAAATCTGTTTTTGAGGCTGGGAAAGGTGTCTATATAAACTTATTCCCCCACAACCTGTTCTGTTGCCATTCACCCTTGATTCTTTCCCCGTGCGCTACTGTGGCGTGTCCCTGTAATCTGATAATAAATCCTACCTTCATCTTGGGAGCAGACCTGTATGGACAGGTTCCTGTCAACCTGGCCACGCTGCTGCGATCTCGCATGGACAGACGTGGGCGCAGCGACCCGCATCCGACAGGGTCCTGCTGAATGCAAAACAAAAGCACGACAGATTGTGCTTGGCCGCACCTATCTGGCTGACGTGCATAAACAGGCTGAGTAAAGGGGGCTTTGCGGTAAAGCAAAGTCTGTTTATGTCCTTGACAGCCAGACGGCGTAAATGTGTTCATCATTTTAGTCATTAATGAACTGAGGAGTTTACATTGCCTTAAAGAAAATCCCGATCGGGAAGATGCTTCAGAGTCTCAAAACTCACTTATAGGAGTGAAGTTTGAGAACTGGAATGTCGGACCGAAGGACCTGTTAGCCGGAGACCTGCCGCTATGCTAACATAGTGCTATATGTCAGTGCTGCTTCTCCCTTCCGATGACTGTGTGGGTTTATATTAGCGCCCGCTAACCGCGCCTGTGTTGCTTCCCTTCCAGCATCCTGCTCCTTTGGTGCCCAGTTACAGGCCACCCATGTCCATTCCCGACTGGCTACAGGCAATCCAGAACTACATGAAGACCCTGCAGTATCCTCTGACTGGGGGCCGAAACACCAAACAGTGGGGGGCCGTGGGACATCCTGATTTTTTCCGAGATCGATGTGTCCCTTGCGTTTCACTTTTTTAACCAATCACAGTCCTCACGGTATGACATCACCACATTGGTCAAACCTTGTTGTAGTTGTTATTAGGAGTCCAAGCAGCAATAGCTGCTGGTTATTATTATTATTTATTATCCTCACCGTGAAATAAAGACGCACCCTTACATTGCTCTGTACAGTCTTTGCAGGTAAGCATGTTCCTATGTTTTCTCTGTTTATCCATCACATGACCTTTAATAAAAGGCATGCACAATAAAACAGGTGCTTTAGAAATCTGTGCACCTTGTCATTTAATTAATGTTGTGATGTCACACAATGAAGATGCTGATTGGTTAAAGAGATGAAATGTTGAGCCAGGGACTTGTCGAACGAAATCAGAACGTGTGTGTGTGTGTGTGTGTGTGTGTGTGTGTGTGTGTGTGTTTGTGTGTGTGTGTCTGTGCTGACAACGGCGTGACTGATTTTTTTCTCATTGTAATATTCACTTTGAAATTCAGGTTAGTCCTCATCAGAGGATTTCATCTGTTGGTCAGTAACACTGCACCCCTGTTGCCATAACAACGGCACGTTCCTTAACACAGGGGAGTAAAACAAGCCATTTGTGGGTTCATAATGTTCATTTCGAAAAGCGGTCAAGTGTGGTCAAAATATGTTTGGACAGTTTTCTCAGTCTGGCATCTGTTTCTCTGCTGGCATTACGGTGCACTTAGTAGCTTTTACCGACGGTGAAGTACCGTAGGTCACTGAATCTGGTGCTAACTTTTAAAAAGTTTAATTTTGTGTTTTGGCCTGGGTATTGGATTTCCTGTGTCCTGTTTTTGTGGATATGTAAAGCCTTATGTCTGCCAGATTTGTAGGAAACTGCTGTAGTTGAAAGTTTGACTTTCTGCTTTGCCGTGTTGTCAAAATTTAATGAGCTTTATAACTATATTTGCATGCATCATTAATTCACACTGATGCATAGAACCCAGTGGCAGAGAATCAGCAACTTCAGGGTACTTTATTTAGAAGAAATCTCTGTAAATATCTGGTGTCTGTCTTAATTAATCTCCTTAATGGCTGGCAGATACAATCACACAGGGACTCAGTTCTTTGAAATTAGGAAGACAAGACCACTGAGCGGGTAAGTCACGCCACCCTAATGAACCCTTCCTTCCTTTAGACCCGTAGGACATGTCTTTTGGAACAATCTGTCAGTGGAACCTCCTAGCAAGTCCACTTGTCATTCCCGTCCATTCCTGCGTGGGGCAGCATTGAGCTCAGTCATATAAATGCGCGTCTGTTGACCATAAAAACTAATGCCTTGAGGGTGTAATGAAGTCGCAGTCAATGTGACTGTGTCGGGAGGAGGGCTAACGCATTGTGAGACCATTGAATGAAGAGGCTTTAATTCCACTGAGCCATTGTTCCCTTTGTGTGTTGTCAGTTAGCTTCCAGCAGAGAATGCCTATAATGCCTTTAATGTCTTGCAGTAAACGGGTATATCTCTGTTAAACCTATCAGTCGAGCTTGATTGTTTACAAAAGATCAGTTTCATCAGTAACGCTATCTGAATAGTAAGAGGTTTAGCATTAGCCAGCTTCAGTGGGTAACTTTTGGCCATATCGTCAATATCTCCTGACTTCTTTTCCAGGCTAATGGAGACAGCCAGGGAAATGACCAGGGAGTCGCTTCCTATCAAGTGTCTGGAGGCCGTCATCCTTGGGATGTATCCTTCAGTGACGTCTGGAGTTTGGGGTCCCTCTGTGTCATTTGGTCATCCGAAGCTTTTACCCAATAACAATTGGATAGGTACCACAGACATCTAAATTGGGTACATTTCTCTGCGATACAATGGCTGTTTCTCATTTGGGTCAGTTCATACTGGTTTGTCATCTTTGTAAAGCATTGCATCTTCCCGTCAGTCGCAATCTTCTGCTGAAGCGTCTTGATGCTTTAAAATCTGACCACTGTTCTTGGATGCACGCATGCTGTTATGAGTTACTGATATGAGTGACGGTAAAGAGAAAAGAAGAGAACCACAGCCAGTAGGAAGCCACCCAAGATGCTGTTGAGACTACTGGTGCCACGCAGGCGGTGGAGTGTATGACACCGCAGTGACAAGCCATCTGAATTGTCCCTCCTATAGCTCAAGGCGATGAAGTTCTGCTCGGTTGCTTCGGAACGCACTCCAGCGGGTGTTCCACATCAGAGCGCGTGCGAAGGCTGAGCGATCGCTCTGTAGTACCTGGGGTTTCCGTGCCATGCGGGGCCACTTGGCTGTGAGGCCCTTTCTGAAGCTCTTAATGTCATGCGGGCTCCTTTCAAAGGCCGTGTCTCATCTAAGGTGAGGGGGTGGAGGTCTGGGTGGGAGGTGCCGCTCCCCGGTGGCCTCAGTGAAGCCTCTTTTCAGTCTCTGTCACTGCCGCTCTGTTAAAAACGCCGAGTGCACACGACTGGTTCTGTGACATTTGAAGCAAATTTACAGGCTTGGCATCAAAGCGCTTGCAGAAAAGAAGGGAAGGTGATACACCGGAGAGATTTAGAAGAAGAAGCCAGGAACAGCAGTCAGGCTGAATTCTAATCGGGGCCTGTGAAACGAGAGGAATCCTCCTTTATTCCCTCTCAAACTGGTGAGGAATGAAAGAGTTACTCTGCTCCCAGTGACCTAAGCTTGAGTTAATTTGACGGCGAGTCAGCAGTTTGTGTTTGTGTAATGAACAGAGGCAGGGAAAACCAGTCATGGAACTGATGGAGGAGGAAATGTCTGAGGCATTTTAGTCTAACTACACTTTCATTTATTTTAAAAGACACGTTTATTCCAACACATTATTTTTGTGAAAGCAGGGTTGGCCGGTCTCTGGAGCCGCATGGGTTTAGGGCTTTGCTGATCCTGGGATTTGAACTAGAAACCATCCGATCACAAGCACAGCATCCTAATCCTCTGAGCCATACACCACCCCAACTAGACTGTGGTTTTTATACAATGAGCAGCTAGACGTTGTGAGATGGGGATAATGGCTAAGAGTGAATAATGTGTTTGACTCATTTTCTTGCGGTATTCAGTTCATGCTTGGACTCTTAAATCATTGTGTTACTATGCGCTGAATCACAATAAGAGGATGTGCATCCACAGAGTAAACCCACTGATGGGTTTGGTGGGGGTACAAGGTCGCTGTATCCTTCATCGTAATGGATAACCTTCCTTTTTAGCAAGGACACCCGCAGTGTCACGTTAAACAAAGTAGCAGGAGCATGTCGAGATTTTCTGCTGGGGGTAAGCAGCAGCAGAGTGGAACGTTCTCTAAATGGGTTAATGACTTCTGTAGTTACTACTGATTCACTTTAGCCCATAACCAGGCGATTTTTAGCCGTTTGCACAGTTCTTCCCCTCATAACTGGAAGCAGATGGTTTTCCATAGTAATGCAGACCCCCCCCCCCCCAAGCACAACACCCCACTTGTGAGTAAGTCGGAATGATTTAAGTGAAGACCTATTTGGCTGACATGCCTACCCCTTTGCCACTCCAATGGGACATTTGTCAGGTCAGATTAACAGGCACTTCCAGCATGGTTACACATCACGGAAGCCTAAAAACAATTGTCTGGGGTCTTAATTATTGTTTCGTCATTTTTTAACACACAGTTCAGGGTCCTAACCCGACAGACGCTGTGTGTGTATGTCCTCCTTTCTTGGCAACTGCCGTTTGTTCCCATAGCAACCATAATCCTTGGCTTTTGGCAAACCCCTGCTCTTAGGAGAGCACTGCCGGCCGCCCTTATTCACGGCACCGGCGAGGATCACATGACCGCCGACAGGTAATGTGATCCCGCACACTGTAAATGGGCTTTACGTCACCACCTGGGGCTGGGGGGGGCAGAGACGCAGCTTCCTCTAGGCAGGGGGGCGTAGACACTTGGCCCGTTTTCATGACGGTCAAGGAGTGATGCTTCTAAAAATTGTGCTGCTGGGCACCTGAGCGGCTGGGGTTGGGAGTCGGCCTCTCTGTTCACTTCGTTTAGCCCTTTGGGCAGGATTGGCTGCACCTTTTATTTAGCCCTAAAAATAAAAATAACCGGTGAGATAAATGTAGCGTAATAGCAGTATCGGCTGGGGAGAGCACTGAGGTCGCGTCTTAGTATTGATGGATTTGGCTGAAAGTCAAAGTGCTCAGTGACCCAACACGTTACCCTTTCTGGATAGGTTTTTTTTCCCCCCCTTATGTCAGCCGTATGGAGCCCTAATCTTCTCATCGACATATTTACCTCGTTCTTCATGGACGCCGTTCATGTTCATGGTCACCACTGGGACCTGATGCCCTAACAGTGTGCTGGCCTCCTGTCTCCTCCACAGACGCGGATGATCTAATGAGCCCCGGGCGCTGTGGACGCCGTCCAACGAGAGAGGCGAGGTGACGGATGGGCCCGTGGGGTGGGGGGGTGGTGTTAACATACGGTCTGAGGCAAAGAAAGGCGGAGAGCCAGCTCTGGTCCCGCCCCCTGCGACGGACGTGTTGAGTCTGAAGCTGTGAAGAAAGATTGAGTAGAGAGCAGTAGTGGAAACTCTGGCAAGGATTTTGGAGAATTATCGTTTATTTGGTCAGAAAAAGATTTACGTTCAGCTGCCGATGCTCGGGAGGATGTGGGAGACGGAAATGACAGTAAATGTAGGATATCGGGGGGGGGGAGGGCATCACAAGGATTGGGTTCATGAATAACGTGTCACTGGATAATATATCAGAGTGTCATGTGGTTTGGCACTCATAGGAAGGGTACTTAAGCTAGATTCCTTTGGTACCTAAGAAGAGTTAAACCATCTAGCTGTAATCAAAGGATGAAGTAATCTGTACAGGTTGCTTTGGGTAAGAATCTGCTAAGCATTGTAAATAAAATGGAGGTGGACGTTTCAGGTGCAGAAGGTAAAAATCCAGACCAAGATTTTGTTTCAACCAACTAGTCGAGTACTCTGTGACTGGGACTGTTCACGCTCAACTGGTTGGTTGAAACAAAATCTTGGTCTGGATTTTTATTTTCTGGACCTTTAGTGTCTACCTCTGAAATAAGAATAATGGGCAGACTTGTTCCAGATGAAGCGTTCGTCTAGCAAATGAATGACTGGGGGCAGCAGGGCATGAGGAGAACTTGGTGTCCAGTTCTTTAAAGCAACATCTCAAAGAGGCCAGGAGCAGATTCTGGGGACGTGCACATCGTGCTGGAGTTTGTGTGCGGCCCGACCGATGCCGGTAGCCCTGAAACAGCGACGACCTCGCCCGCGACATTCACCGCGGGGATCCATCCGCATCTCGCCCCTGCTGCGTCGGAGTGCGGCACCGCAGTGGTGAAGGTTGCTTAACGCTTCCTGCAAGATTGCAGCCGGTGACCCAAAGTCAGGGGTGGGGAGGGGGGTGTGTAGTGAGAGAGAGAGAGAGAGGGGGGGGGGGCACAGAGCCAGGTGGGGGCTGCGGAACATTCCGGCACTTCTTTAGGGATTTAGAGGAGAAGACGCATCTCTGCAGTGGTCCGAGCCAAGCCAACACATATGTTTATATAGCGAAATTGTGCTTTAAATTTGTCATTTCTACACTGGTTTCATTTTTTGGTGCATGATTTTAAGACTAGGAAAATCCATTTTAATGCAAGGTTATGGTGGAGAGGTTTACAGAGCGGGACCATGTCATGACCTCACATACCTCTCAGTATGGCTGGCAAGCAGGATGTAAAACCGTTTCTGCGGTTTGTGCAATAGAGCGATGGGATTGATCTGTCTGAGCTACTATACTGAATATTCAACCTTCACCTTTATGTAATCTTTTATCGGTAATGCTTTATATTAACTGCACCTCCATAAGCCTTTATAATGCATTCAGTGCACCTTCATAATGCTTTTTATAAAGCATTTATAGAACATTCCTAAGCAGCATGTAAGTACACCTTAACATCCTAACACACCTTAACAGCTTTAATATGCACTAATAACAAACTTTATAATATTATATCCGTTATTCGTGTATTGCCCTTTAATCCATAGCTTCGGTTGTAGAACCCCTTAGCAATGACTTGTGACCATCTAAAGGAATGGCTGAGGGTTTCTGAAACTGGGGCTCCAGAGAATGTGAAAACCTGTCACATCCTTGGCACATTTTCTCCCATCAATCAGTATCTAACAGCAGCTTGATGCTTAAAAAATAATGTTTTGGGAGAGGACTTGGTGTTGTTTCATTGGGCAAATGTTTATACTTGAAGGAGGTAAAAAGTAGAGAGGCATGTAAAATCTTGAAATTGTTTCAGAGCGACGTGACTAAGTGGGTGAATGATGTTTGTGAATCGCACCACTGCGCGAACGAGGCCTTAACTGAGGCCGCAGCTACCTGACCAATGGGCTGACCTCTCTTGAGCGTTTCCCAATCAGCTTCAAGACCCAGTTCTCAGGGAACCACTTCCACCACGTGGTTCTGGGCATCTACTGCAACGGCCGCTACGGCACCCTGGGCATGAGCCGGCGGCCGGACCTCATGGACAAGGCCCTGACCTTCCGCACGCTCAGCGAGCTCGTCTTCGATTTTGAAGAGTCCTACCACCGCTACCAACATGCCCTCAAGAAGGTGAAGATTGGCCTGTACGTGCCCCACGACCCCCACGTCTTTCAGCCCATCGAGTGGAAGTACCTGGTGCTTAATGCCGGCCGATTGGGCCGCGAGGACATGCGCAAGGAGCTGGAGAAACACGCTCGGGACATGAGGATGAAGGTGGGTGGCGAAGGTCACATGACTATCCGTCGAGGATTCTGTGGTTCATAATGGTTATGGAGATACTGTGGGTCAGCTGGAGGCAAGTTTAAGGATCCAGAGGGATTGGTAGTTAGGGCAGTTATTGCAGAATCTTCATAAACCCCACGATTGGGTCCAAAAACCATGCTGGTACTACTATTCTCCTGTGGAAAGCTACTGATTGGACTTTACATCGTTTCCCAGTAATAAGATCTGCAGGTAATATGCTCTTTAACTGCCCGTAGAAATGAGAGTCAGGCTCCACTTAGAAGAAGAAACTGAGACCTATATTCTTAGTGTTGGAAAAGACGGTGACATGTTTGGTAGGATCGCGGCTGCCCACTGGGCCATGAAGACGGGGTTCTATCAAAATGAAACGGGAGCTACAGGGAAATGTAGGTCGTGTCCTCACAGCTGCTCCGCTCTGGAGCGTGAACCTGGCCCCTGCTGACCGCACTCAGCTGTGCTTATCTGGCCCTCGTGAAGACCCCGGAGAACGCGGAGGGCACACCAGTGTGTACATTACACCGAGGCCCCCAGAGTGTAACCCCACCTCGACAGACCGTCTCCGCAGATCCTTTTTTTAAACACATGATTAGCATCAGCAGTTGCTAGCTAAAGCTTGCGTGGTATTTGTAAGTTTATTAGCCAGATATCGTTTCTGTGGCTTCTGTTTACAAGTTCCTAGATCATTGGTGTGGTGAGAGTGGTCCCATAAATTTTGAGACTTAATGTATGTTTGCACAGCCATTGCCAGGAGGGCAAGGCCCTTAAACACTGGGAGTAAAAGCCCCGGAAGTCTTTATTTGATCGTGAAAGATAAACTGCAATAGTTCTTATTATCCAAGAAAAGGTAGATAACTGTAGTATGTAGCAACTGCCGTTCAAGATCCTGATTTTGTACTTCAGATCCTCAAGAGCTCAAGTGCACAGTCTCCTATTAAGGAGAGGAGCCGAGGAAAGTCACTTTCCCCTGGCCGTCGGCAAACTAGCCCTCAAAGACGGCATCTTCACAGAAGAGACAAGTCGTAAGTAGCCTCGCTCGTGGGAGCGGAAGCGGGGTCGGCGGCGCCCATTGTTCCTCATAGAATGGCAAAATTCACGAGTCATCGTTTTCTATTTTAAATATACTTCTCCTATGGAGATCCCCTCCAAAATAACTAATAACAAACCCTGCATGATATCTCTGCGGATACATTGTGATTAATACCTCTTTTTTTTTTTTACCCCTGTGGAACTCGTTTTGCCTTGGAGAGTTAATTAAGTCTCAGCCACAGTCTTAATAAATGTATACACTTTTAACTTCTCTTACTGGAAGGATGTGGGGTGTAACTGTGTATCACTGACTTGCCTTTCTCTCAGTTCAATGTCCCCAGTAGCTTCTCTGATATACAGTACCAGTCTAAAGTCTTGACACATCTACTGAAAATCATTTGATTTTCAAAATAATGACCCTAAGCTCACCTGGAGGTCATGTAGTAAGTATTACCTTGTGATCAAGGACAGAGATGCTGTGACAGATGACATGGCCCACAAACCCCTGAGCTGAACCCTATAGAGCTGATTTGGGATGAGTTGGATTGAAGCGTAAATCTCGCTACCCAGTTCACACCTGGATCTCTAAAATATTTGTGCATCACATCTATCATAATTGCAGCGGAACAATTAGATTGACGGCGTAGCCAACGGGACGCCAATAAAGGTTGCACAGCGGTCTCAGAAATGTTTGCAGAATACAATGTTAGCTTGGCCTGTTTGTCGCTATCATGGGACCATTAGTGAAATATGGTAGAAATATAGGCTGCAATTATTCATTAAGACTAATTTCTGCTTATATCAGTGAATTATGTAACAAGAGGATCTTGTTGTGATGCTAGGGGACTCCGGAGCTTCTGTCCGACGTAGCGGCTAAGATTGCAGTCGCTTGTGGTAAAGCTTCTGTCAGGGTCGGTGTGTTTATAACCTGATCTCCGGAAGCTTTGCTGTGGGTGGATGGAGCCGATGCTGGCGTTCGGTGGCGTGTAAACCGCCGTACCGTGGAGCAGGGCGATGTTACTGCATCCGCACGGGTGTTAAGCTGCCCGTCGATAAGCCTCGCCCAGCTGCGTTTGTGGATATGCCTGGCGTACAGGAGGTCCATAAAAAGGAGCCATTTTGGTCTATTAGTAGAGAATGAACACTTCATGACGATCCCCCCCCCCCCCCCCCAGCTCAATGCGCTTATATCTAGGCCCTTCCATAACACCCACTACTTTGCTTGTCGACTTCCTGAGGCCTTAATCACTAAGCAGGTGGTGCACATCTGCCCCCTGACTTCATACCTCCCCCCGCCCCCACCCCCGAGGCACATTCTCAAAGACCTTCAATTATCCAAATCCAGGGGCTGGACTCCAACTTCCTAAGCAGCTCCGCCACTAGCTGAGAAATCAGAACAGAAATAGAGCTCGGCAGGCCTTAGGGACACTGCAGGCTGACGGTTTATATACGGTTATATAAACAGATGCTGCATGCTTACAGTAATCATTTTACTGTAAACAGCGTTTACTATGTTCGTACTCGGTCGGTTAGCGGCCGCGGTCGGCCACATTAATACACATAGCCTGCTTGAGTTCTGAGAAAACTGTTGACCTGAATTTTTCCCCAGTAAAAAAGTGGGTACAGAAATGGATCAGGCAGGACACCGGGGTGCGCCGGCTGCTGGCCGACTGACGGCCGGTACCAGCTGTACCGCATTCAGTTTGGCAGGAGCTTAAATGTGAAGAGCCACTGTTTCCACAGGCCGAGACCAAAGCAGGGTGACCCCGATACTTCATTGCAAATCGTAACTCTCTTCCTGTTTTCTCAGGGAGGTGGACTTTCTCGGGGGGGGTGGTGCGTGGTTCAGTAGGATAGGCCTTCATACCTGGAATCGGAAGGTTGCTGGTTCGAGCCTCGGCAAAATAGTCATGTGTCCACTGGATGCTAGAACGAGATCCCTAAGCCCCGCCCCCAGCCCCCTCCAACCCAATACTTAAGATCCCAGGCTTAGTGCTCAACTGTGTGTGTATGTGTGCAGGAGGAAGCATTGCAATGTACCTGTAGAAGTCATGTTGCTTGGATGGCTGCTTGGGACCCATACATGGGGAGGAGGACATGCTGTACTAACGTGCAAAAGGGGCCTACAGATCAGTGATAAATATCAGCCTGTTTTCCCACCAGTTTATCATCAGTCCTGGATGTGCAGCCAAACCCAGACCAGTCCCATGGGGAGAAACTCATACTGGGTCATTGGGTGCTTTGTATTAATGAAGCGCTGCAGCCGCACACAGCATTATGTCCTAACCCATTTTACCGCTTTTTCGGGGGGGTGGCTTATTGTCAGAAGACACTTTTGGAGTCTTAAAGATCCCGAGCCTGACCGGCCTCCCACCCCCCTTCCTTCGCATGGATTGGCCCGGCTTCGCTCTGGGAGGGGTGACCTCCACAATCAGCAGACAGTCAGCAGAAATACCCCCCCCCCCCTTCCCTCTGCCGCAAAGTAACCTAACACTCATTTAGGTTTCATCCAGCGTACTAGATGGAGCAGAACGTGAACAAAAAGAGCACATTAAACCCAGCTCTCAATGAGCCGTCTCAACTTGGTGCTACTCTGCCCAACATACAGGAAACTATAATGGATTCTGCTCCTCCAGAAAACGGGCCCGTACGGTAGGCTTTCACAGAAGCCGTTACAATGTTCAGTCTTTTAGCTGATCCTGAGCACAAACCACTGCAGTGTTTCCAGCTTTAAAGGCACCCTGAGGCTTCCAGGGCCAATCAGATTGGCAGGCACTACATTTAACAGCTGATTGGTTAGTTACCTTCATCTGTTCTGCCATTTGCAGCTCTGATTACCTGAAGCTGAGATTGATGTCAAATGCAGTCAAGCCCAACGTTTGTAAAAAAAAATATCAGAGGAATTGCTTTTTTTAATGGTTGTATAATGACAGGGATCACACCACACAAGGGAAACCCTGTTCTGGATTGTCTCCTTTGGTGGACGGCTGAGTTGCATTGATGGTTTGCTGCTGTTACGGCCTGAATACTGAGCGCCTGATTGGTATTGATTTCATCAACTCTGATGGATTGGAACCTCTGTTGGGCGAGGAGATCCAAGCATCATTATGGGGGATGTAATGAGGGACGTAGGCATCAGTCACAGCCGCTGGGCTGCGATTTCATAGTGCTAAACAGTCACAAGTTTTGAGTATAGATCCGCATTGGACCCGTAAACCTAGAGGCAGGGGTTAGCTGACTCTTGCCCATATGAGCCAAGCCCCCCCTCCCCTTAGAGCCAGCTGGCACCTTTTGAAGGAGTGTGGCCCCCAGTACTGGAAGACGGTCACCCACAGGTGTCTGAAACCAGACCAGCCTCAGACTCCAAGCGGTGGAGCAAACTCTGACCACTGGCCCTCCTCCCCCGAGTGGAACAAAAACACATTTGTCCATCCCAGCCTTGGCAGGAAAGCGACGCCTGGATCCCGCTCGTGAAAGAGGGTGATCAGAAGAGACTTAGGAGAGTACAGGTGTGCTGTAACTGAAGAGCAAATTTCCAAAACGTGCTCTTTTTTTGTCGTCATTGAGGTGAGGCCACCAGTGACCTAAAGTTCGGCTTTACGAACCAAAACTCACTTCATGTGTCTCTCTCCTCTCTGCAGGCCGGCAGTGATGGACCGCAAACCCGCAGAGCTTAGCACACTCAACGACGGTTACCAGATCCGCATTTAGGACCCGAACACCCCCCACCCACGCAAGAAGGCTGCCTACCTGCCCCCCTCCCGCCAAAAGTCTTCTCCCAAGTATCCTGTGTACTCCTAACAGCACCTAAACCCTGTCAACACCTGTCAGCTATTCAAATGGTATTTAATTTCATGTAAATTAAGGATACTGCTTGAGTGTGTGTCTGCGCACGCTTCATTTACACACATACACTTGAATATCTCTTGGGGGGGGGGGGGGGGGGGGGTAAAGGAGTGAGTCACATGCTCTTTACTGCTCAATGTTTTCCGCCGTGGGGTCTGATGGAATGGTGTTCTCATCCGTGTCATCCCTCATGGATAGACAGATTACAGGTCTGGCAAAAGGAGTAGATTGCGGCATCCCCCCCCCCGGCTCTGTTGTGAAGTAGAAGACGAGGTCAATTGGGTCAGCAGCAACAGTATTTTCCACCGCAAAAGAAATGTGAATTTAATACGTCCAGCAGATGGCTTGTGTAAATCTCAGTGTCAGCATGCCTTGTGTTTTCCACTGGAATTCAGTAATCCTCCACTGCACAAAGAACAGTTGTCCTGGAATGGGTGATTCCTGGAATCTGGAATAGGGTTAGAAGTCCTACAACACGATTAGTGTTAAAAGAGGTATTCATTTTAACTTTCTGTGAATTGGTGAGCTCAGTTTCAATATATTGTCTGTGGATGATTCTGGTTTTGCTTATGAGGTTTGCTGAAGTGCTGGAAAACCTTAAAGAGCAAAGATGGGTGGCATTAAAACAAAGGCTCTTTTTATGGTCTTTAGGTCAACCGTCCTTAGTGGTTTGTAGCAGTTCTGCCAGCTGTTTGTCTCAAGGGCTCTGGGGGGCTACTTTGTGCTGTTTTGACCCACATGAGTTGCTCAGAAGTTGCATAAAGCCCTCAGGCAGTGAGGCCTGGCGATCTCATGCCCACTCTCGCGGCGTTCATGCCGGGCAGCTGCGTTTGACTGCAGCGGCCTCCCGTCTGCGCGTTTTCACGCCTTGCAGTGCAGGTGGCAGGTGGCCGGCAGCCTGAGGACAGGGGCAGCCGGGGTCTTCTGGGACGGCTTGAGTGTGACGGCCGTGCAGGGAGGACAGGAAATTAATTTGACGTTTCCTCCGTTTTTGGAGAATCTCGACGGCGGCCTCTCTGGTCGAGAATTGGCGCTCTCTCAAGTCTTGGCTGAGGCTCAGCATCTGAGATATGTCTGAAGCAAGGACTGGGGCATTTATTTATATTTTGTAGTCTGGAGCAAAACGAGAGTGGTATTCTTGGAATGCTGTACAGCAAAGGTGTTTTTCATTGCATTCATTTGACCAGTAAAGAGAACTTTCCAGATGAGATGCTCTGGAATGTAATTCCTGCAAGGGCCATTGACAAGGGTAAGAGCGTAAGCCGCAGCTGGAGTAGAGGCTTCTGGGTAGCCAGAGATAGCTGGCAGGCAGATCGGACCATGATACACAAACTGACTGTGTAGCTTTGTTGTCGGATGTTTCCGAATGCGTAGCATAATACGTCTCGCAGGCGAATAAGCTATGCAAGTCGATCAGGTCCCTTGAATATCCTGTTTCAGCCATGCGAGATCCCCGGTAGCGCTCTCTCCCACTGACCGCGTCTTCCTTATTGTGCGAGTGTGATTTCTGACATCTAAGCGTATTAGCCACGAAGGCTCGAGGAAGAGGGGATTAATCATCTGTTTTAAGGAAATCTTTTTTAACTTTGAAAAATCAGCTGGTGAAACGATGTGGTCCAAGCACATGCCCGAAGACTTTATTTTCTTCAAAGAATATTTTTAATGGTTTAATAGTGGTTTTTAAACGACCGTCGGCTCAACGAAAGACATTAGATGCCAGCTGAGAGGCAGCTGAGCTTAAGGAGGCTCAGCTTCACGTCTCAATTTTACAGGAACATCCTGGCCGTCGTTAAAACGCTGCACCCTCGTTCAGAATGCAGGAAGCTGTCATGTTTTCCTGCGGGGTACAGCGGAGCGGACTCGAGTGAGCCCGACTTCGCTGTTAGCGCAAACTGTTTGGTGTAGGGTAGGGGGCTGTGTATTGAAGATGACCTCCAGCGGGTCTTCAGTGGTTGGGTACGTGTGTTACAGGGTGCAGTGTTAGCTGATTTTTGTACCTTTAAACGTTTTTCACAGTGTGAGTTTCGGGCCTCAGGCCGAGTAGTAGCTTCAGTCGTCCTTCAGTGACAGTGGGGGATTCGCACAGATACGGTCGCTGGGTGACCTTCTCCATCATCTTTGAGCTTTGTGCTGACGTGGCATCTGATTGGTGGAACAGAGTAGGTTGGCCTACGGTACTGTTTCTTTTTTTTAAGCATGATCAGATCTCTTATAATATTACTCTTCACTTTAAGAACTTTTATCAAGCCTGTAATTAAATGCAAGTCAAATTTGGGGCGGGGGCGATCAATCTGGGCTCTCTTCAGAGCTGTGAGATCTTGTCCCGGGTGTTTATTGTTATTTAGGGCATGGAATGCTGAGCGTGAGAGCATATCAGTGTGATATAGCCCTTTCGCATTGCTTCGAGCCCCTCCTCCACCACCATGAACAGAGCCAAACCAGAATTTCAGATCAAGTCCATTTATTTTATATATTGTGACTGATGGGTTTTGTATTACGACAATTTTGGTTCTTGTTTTTACTGACTGTAGCATGTGTTTTAATAAAACAAATTACATTTTTAAGTGTGTATTTTTTGCATGGTTAATAAGCTAAAACAACATGAGGACCGATACGGGCTGATGTGACAGGAATTCATGTCTGCCGTCATACATCTTTACACGTCTTCTCACGCACACACCCCGACGCCTGAAGGCGGATCGATGGCGCCGTCTGTGTGGTCAGCTGTAACGGTGCTCGTCTGCTAATCTGCTTGCAGTGACTAGAAGTGGCACGCAGGAAGTGAATGAGTGCAGATTAGTGCACTAATCCGTTTGTCGTCTAGCCAGGAATCCTGGGAAACCTCGGCCGAATCCCTTAAACGAGGAAGCCTCTTCTCCCCCAGGAGCAACATTTTAGACGACATATGGATACAGTCTCTCACAAGCCCAGCGTCAGTATAACACGGTTTTACATTTCCGGTGCACTCCACACTAAATGGCTACCAGAATGCTTCCTCCGATCTGCGTTTCTTCCACTCAGGCTTGAGCGTGGGGCTAAGCTAGGAAACGTGATTCAAGAGAGCAGGTCCACAGAGATTGTGCGTTTTTTTTTTTTTTTTTTTTAAAACGAAAGCCCTTTAAGACATTACTCAGTGTACCTCTAAGAAGGGCTAAGAGGAGAATTAGGTCGAATGTGGATATACTGAGAGCTTATGTCACTCTGAGATCACTGATAAGAAGGATCAGGTAATAGTCATCTTGGGCACGTCAATGTAAAATGAACGAGGGGACCTTTAAAAGGTGGCTTTGTCTAGCAATAAGAGAAGATCCATAAATGTCTGCATCAGTACAGTAAGTATCAGTACATGTTCCAATAGTATTACCTTACACAACAGCTGAAACATTGACAAAACGTAAGTGTGCAATCTGAGTACTGAATCTGGAAATGGGAAGAAGGAAGTGTTTGGTAGCCTGACCCTCAAGAGCCAGGAAGATAATTAACACCAAGGCCAGGCTGTGGGAAACTGCTGCTGATGAGGAGTTCTTTAAAAGGAGAACAGCACTGGCGTAAGGTGACATGTTCATAACAGCGAGTGACAGCATGGGTGAGATGAACGCAGAGTAAAAGGGGTCAAAGCTGATGCAGTGATGGGCTAAGAGGAGAATTTAGGTCAGATGTGGATATACTAAGAGCCAGAGCCATGACCCAGATGATGAGAATGATCCCAAAAAGAACAGGAAAAATGTTCTGATCCAGCTGCCATAAAAGGAGTGTTTTTGTCATGTATGGGTCATGTGACCTCCAGTAGCAAAGATCAAGCCCATAACAGCCCAGCACTTGGATCTTAACTACTGACGCTCCTACTTTCGTCCCCAACTTTGCAAAACTTTCACAATTAAAAATTTTTATGTAGTTTTTAAAACACTTTAATTCCACCAAGAACAGACTCCTTTAAAATCTACACGCAGGTAACGTGGACATACTCAATGCAATGCAGAACTGATTACATGAACATTGCTAAAAACCTAGATGGTAGGTTCCCATTAAGTCCAAAAGCTCCACGGGATCAGAATGTCAACTGCCTGGTCCAAATTACTTGGTGTGCAACTTCAAACCTCCAGATTTATATGCAATGTTTGAATCTTGTAACTCCTATGTAATTTTTAAAAAAAGGCATATTTCTTCAAGAAAGTCCATTCAAAGTGAATTCTTCAGCGTACCTGAATTCCAGTTTAAAAGAAAAAATCTGGGGCGTGAGTCTCTGGTAATTTGACGCCAGCCCTCCAGGGGGCGCTGGGCATCTATCAGTAACACAGGCGGAAGCGCACCAGCAGCGGCAGATGGTCCGAGGAATTATGCTCGTTGGGGAGTCCGTTGGCCATCCACAGGTCCGTCTCCCCCAAGAGAGCCAACCTGCCCAGTAAGTGCAGCCCATGTTTGGAGGTCCTGCTGCATTCTGGGTAAGGAAAACCATAGGTAGGTGAAGCATTACGGCACGTGTCTCCAACTCACTATCCAGGAACGAGAGGGTGACTCTGAGGCCCGTGCATGCTACATTTCATATTGCAGTCACAGCTACTATGCTACGCTAACACATGTGCGACCCCACACCCACCAGTGCCTACCGTACCTGGTTGCGTGTAGACGTCTCCCTGAGCTGCAGAGTAGAAGATGTAGTCCACGGTGATAGCAGTCCTGGAGTGGCAGGTGGTGATCTCTGGCCGCCTGCCGTCCTCCAGGTAGTGCGAGTAGGCAGAGGTGAGCTGCAACCCATGCTCTATCCTGGGCAGGCGCCCCCTGTTGAGCGAAGGGCGGATTACAGCCTCACATTACACCAATAAACAGACTCTTTGATTCCCCAACCGGCTCCTCAGCCAGCTGAGTGGGCACCAGCCAGGTCCATTAGCAATTCTGGGCCTCCGTGCTTCTCACTACTAATTAACATGAGCTGCATCCCTTTAAGCACCTCAAGGGCACTGAGGTGAAAGCGGGAGGGGGAGGGGCACGCAGCTCGTCTATTTACACTGCGGTAGGGGTTGCGAGGTTCTGACGGGTCAAGTTTCATCTCCTGTGGACAGAAATGTTTTTGGGTCGCGGGTATGCTGGGGTGGGGTACAGGGAGAGTGCCTCTATCCAAGCTGGTCAACACTGCTGCCAGGACACGCTCGGCGGGTTCAACCATGGGGGTCTAACCCTGCCCCCTCAGGGTCACAGAGGACATTGGTGCCTAATGGATAGTTAGCGCCCCCTCAAATAGCAATGGGAGGCTGGAAAGCAGGTGGGATGAACCAGATACTGTCAATCACTGCCTACTTTAATTTGATAGGACAATCTCGTCCAATGGGCATCATCTGTACAACTTCCATCCTCAAAAGTCCATTACAACAGCTTCTCACACTGGCTGGTGACTGTCAGTAGTGTGAGCCCCCCCCACCCCACAGCTTACCGATCCAAGATCTCAGGGACATCTTCCTCGTGGTCCCTCACGTCCAGGCTGGACATGTCACCTCCAACACCTGAATGGAAACCAGAGACCGGTAAGGTACCAAGACAATGCCTGAAAACAGGGATGTGAGGATGGAAGTAAGGCTTCAAAGGTGACCCTGTGCTACAAATTTACAGTTACGCTCTTCATCCCACTAAAGCCACACGATTCAGCTGAGTGTCGGGTGGTGTTTTCCCCCTCAGAACCCGGTACCAGGTCCCCAAGTGGAACAGTATCACCCTTGGCCTTGGAAACTATAAACGGTGAGCCCCTCTGGTGACGAGAGAGCAGCAGGTCACCTGCAGTCCTGCAGGACGCGGTCTCATACTGGCAACGCTGGTTGATTCCAAGACTCGGGGGCCAGATGGGGGTGGTCAGTATCCGCTGTCCCCTTGGGCTCTGTTCCTGACCGGACACCTGCCCCCCCAAAGAGAAACACCCTAGGTGTCTTAATATCTTCCAAGTTACACGAGCTGCTGCCCCATCTGTCCAGCAGGGGCTCGGAATGCTTTGGCACTCGTACCATAAACTTGGGTGGAGCTGCTTCATAAGCAGAGTACCTATGGAGCCCGAGCTGCATTGAAATGTTTCATTTACATCCCTTCACCCAGTGGATCTCTCCAGTGCTCACATTGTTACTCTTTTTTTTGGCAAAAACTGTAATACTAAGATACCGCAGCACATCAAATGTGGACAAATGTCCGCCTACACCCAAATTCAATTTCAAAAGTTTAAGAAAAACAAGCTTAAAAATGTTACTTTGGTGTGCAACTTCAAACCGCCAGATTTATATGCAATAAAATTGGAATCAAACAATAAATATTAGTAGTTCTACAATTCCAGTTCCTAATTTTACCGAAGACAAAGGCAATAATGTACGAGCACCATGCAGACACTGAGGGACATCGTGTTTAATACCTCCTGAGGACCTGGGTAGGGAAACGACATGCAAAAGGGCTTCAAGTCCAACAGAATGTTCATCCACGCGGAAGGAACGTTGATGTAACCTGGCAGGGGGTTTGTGGGCTCAATGCTGCAACTGCAGTTCAAGGACAGTTGGGGGGGGGGGGGGGGATAGACACTCCAAACCTCCCACCGAAGGGCCCCGGACTCTCACCTTGCCGATGGGGATGCCCTCGTACTCCAGCCTGCTGTCCCGAATGAAGGTGTAGAGGGGGGACCAGGGCACGGAGTTGAAGTCCCCGCAGAGGATGACGGGGCACGGTGTGTCATCGGCGGCCCCCAGCGGCCGGGACACGCGGCTGATCTCAGCCAGAAGCAGGGCCAGCTGGGCCAGCTTGATATCTCCGCGTCGGGGGTTGTACAGCAGGTGGGTGTTGGCCACGCAGAGCCCGCGCCCCGAGGAGGGAGCGACACCGGACGGCCTCAGAAGCAGCACCAGGCCCACGTTGTCGCGATCCAGCAGGGGGACGCCGCGCCGATAGAACTCCACGGGGTGGCAGGACACCAGGGAGAAGCGGTCCCGCTTGAAGCAGACTGCGCAGCCGTCGGGCTTGCGGCCTGTGCGTCGCTTGTATTCAGAGTGGTAACCTGTGTGGATTTTAACAATCAGGCATACAAGACCACGCGGAAAAACAAAGGTGTATGTTTCGATTTCCAAGTGAGAGTTAGTCCTAGAGCGCCCTCTACTGGGAAGAAAAAAAAAAAACACTACTTTGTCAAAGCACTGAAGCAAATGGCTAATAAAAAATGCTCTCATTCTGCTAGACTGCAGACAATTTAAAAAGCTGCCCTCAGATCCTTATTAATGATGTTTATTTCCTTTATGACTGAAGACGAACACTTGCAAAGCAACCACATGACTTGGGGAAAATGTCTATTTGTAAAAATCTTTCTCATGCAATGGATGCATGAAGGGAAAAAATATTTAAAAGAATAACATACAAACATCAGTACCTAAAGAGTCTAGACTGGGTTTGATCTGTTTTAGGTAGTGGTCCTCTTGCACTTCTTGGAGACACAATATCTATGGAGACAAAGGTTGGCAAAACTGAGCTGTAAATGGGGCACAAGGCACCTGGTGTTCAGATTACGGTCATGTTAGGGCAGTGTTTCCCTACCTGGTCGGTGGCGACCCACAGAAAGTCCACATTTTTGCTCCTCCTCCAGCTCCCTGCCAGACGGCCCTACAGGGAGCTGGAGGGAGCAAAAACGTGGACCGTCTGCGGCTCCCTGAAGACCAGTTTGGGAAACACTGCATTAAGTTCTTGGTGGAATGGAGACGAACAGCAGTGCGGGCTCACTGTGTGACCATTAATTACAAACGGTGATACACAGTGATGGCAGAAATGAGACAAGCTCCAGCGATGGTGATCCAACCCAGGCATCAAACAGGACATCACCCACCGGCACTGCATCACTCACACCTACCCTGGGGTCGAATGCACCCCAAAGGCACATGTTGGGTGACTTCTCAGAGTAACAATTATTGTAGGAGCGAGTAACAGTTAATGTAGCTGAGGAACTAGACTTTCTATCAGAAGACTGCAAGCATATGCAAGTGCTTTTAAAGGAACTGCTCTTGTACCCTTAAAAGAATGTAACTGCCTAGATGAACTAATGAAAAGTAAAAATATCTGCTTAACTACAAAACAGTATAACACCCAGATGAAACAAGCACTGTGTTTAAAGCTGGTTTTATCGGGGGGGGGGGTACAGTATGTGCCTATTTGATCACTGGCCTTAGCAGAATAGTCACATCTCCACTGGGTCCTTGAGCAAGGCCTCACCTTGGAGAAATGGCCTCACCCATCACTCAAACCCCAAGCTTTGCCTGCAACTGTGCATATGAGTATGTTGCTCTCAAAGGAGAGCATGATGGGATATCTGACAGTGTACTTGTGCAAATGGCATCATTTCGTTTCACTTACATCTGCACTGTGCTGCTGCAGCTCCCTCAGCAGACTGGGCAGCCGATGGCTCCAGTCCAGCACAGGCAGCTGGCAGTGCCGGTACAGGTAGGCGTTGTCCTGCAGGAGGTCCTGAGACAGGATGTTGTAGGACATCACGGAAAAGTCAAAGGGTGGATCTTGACCCGCTTGAGAAGAGGATGTGTGCCTGTAGTGGTAAGAAAAGTCTTTCCACTGTCTCTTTATCACTGTTTAGAAAAAAAAAGGCAGAAGAGTGTTTAACTTTCAAATGCGATATAAAGAACCAGAAAATCCACAGTGATTTTCAACGTCCTATTAATCCTGCTTTTACGTTTCTCTTTTAAATCTCCCATTACAGAATGCTAGATACATTGTAGCCAAACATGAACGGTCTGCAGCACCTTCTGTCTTGCGAGTTTTAGTCCAGGTACATTCCGGAGAAGGTCGATTCGCACAGTCTGGGCTGGTGGCAACAGCGCCACGCATCGGGGGAGGAGGCGAGCTGCAGGCTCTGGACTGGCGCGTCGGACTGGCGCTCCGTCCATCTGCGCTCCTCATCCGCTTCAGCGGAGGCTCTTTGTCGGCCCGGTCCATGTGCGCACAGGACAGCTGGAAAGACTTGCGAGAACAACTGCTGAAAGGGGTCTGCCTCCAGCCAACACGCAGGCAAACGTCCGGGGGTCTAATGTTTACAGACAGGTAGTTTCTGGGGTTAGGCCAGGGGGCTCGACACATCCAGCCAGAAAGAGTGGGGGAGCGCAGCGTTCTCCAGTGGCCAAGGAAGCCGGGCGTGGGGGTGAAATTCAGTCCCACAGTATTCAAGTACCGGGTAAACATGGAAAGGCTGTGGGGAGAAAGGGTGTCAGTTGATTCAATGACCAAGCACCACAACTAAGTATGAGCTAACTTTACCCTTTGCCACATTGATAAGTAACATCTCACCGTATTCAGGGCTGCCAACTTTGGTCACCTGGCTGGAGTAAGATTTTCAATTCAAGACAAGTCTGCACACACATTTACATGCATGTAGCAATTTTATTTATGTGAACAGACTGTAGGGTTTGCAAAAAAAACCCAACGCTTTTGATGTAGCTAATTTTAGGTTTATAATGGAATAATACATATTTGCCGTGAGATTTCTTGCGTGACCGTGATAGTCTGAAAGCTTGAGTGTCGCGCCAGATGCGTGAGAGTTGGCAACCCTGTGTATATATTAAAATCTGGGTAAAAAGGTCTGGTAAACGTGAGTCAATCGAGTCTCTGGTAAGGCAATCAGAATTTCCGATTTTCGGGACTGGCATAAAACAAATGTTTACGTAGCCTGTTTCCGAGGCACCACCTATTAACATACAACCTTTGGTACGAGTTTAATGACAAAATGCAATACATAAATCCCAGCATGCGCTTAACTGACGTCTCATTCACACCAAGAAATAACAAACACAAATAACTACTTAGCCACTTACTTCGAGGTTTCATCTTGGCTCCAAATAAATATTTTCGACACATGTATTGAAACCAGCACAACACTGTCTTATTAGTCTATACTAATATAAATGAAAACGCCGAAGAAATGTAATTTATGTTGGCTATAAAAACATTATCAGGCTAATTATTTTCTTCCATATCCAAACCACGTCGCTACAATATGACGTCAGTGCCACAAACCGATAGTCAGTGCGCAAAATTAATTCTGGGAGATGTAGTCCACGACTAACATTTTACAACAATAAGACGAGGAAGGTAGTTTTATTAAAACTACAATTACAAGAAATCCAGAGAAACACATACTACGGGTCCTTAGATGGGTTGAAGGTTCCTAAACAGCCCGACATTCGCCAACTGCAGATATTATGTCATTGACATTATAAAACGGATTACAAAAAGATGCACTATAAACGCCAGTAAAACAGCTACAACGGTAAACGTAAATTGACAGTGCAGTGGCGCAACAATGGCTATCAAATAAGCTTGATAAAACTCGATCGTTTTTATGTTTGCCTGATGGTTAAACCAGCTACATACCTGGAAATGATCCCCTCAATACAGCAACAGATCAGACGTCATAATGTATAATTAATGAATATTCTTCATTGAACCCATCCATCTTCTGACCCGGGTTGGTAATTTTGCAAAGCAACATATTAACGACTGAAACGCAGCCGGAGCTTCTCCATAACGAATAGAAGCTACTCGCATAGTGTCATAGTTCTGCAAGAATGACCGCAGTATCGTGAGAGTTCGGAGTGCCAGAGCGGTTCTGACTGAATGTCGGTATGGTCTAGCCAGGCTTTCTGTTCATTAGGTTTCACCGAAACATCAGTTCAGCGTGTTTGACTGTTCAGGTCACGTGACGCGATGCCCACCGTCTTGCTATTTAAAACGTGTTATCCCACCCACCCCCAAAAAAAACCCCTTAACACTATTTAAGCTGTCAAACACGCTGCATCCGTCTTGTACTTGATTAAAATTAATTTTGTTTAGATGAAACTGTATCGTAGCAACGCACTGTGAAACAATTCTGTTCATCTGGACAATCCTAAACGGTGTACCGCTATGTGCAGACTTCGGTGATGTCCAAGAAGCCAGTTTTAAAGACGTAGTACTGTGCAAAATTCTTAAGCAGTCAAAGAAAATGATGTTTAAATGATCTTCATGTTGTGTAAAACTATGTCTGCCAAAGTGTGCAAGCTTAGTCATTTCAAAACCTTTTCTAAAACCACCCCAGTATTTGCAGCAGCCATCCGAAAGACCAGTGTATTTCTTTGAATCAGCCACTACCGCACCTTCTTTGGGTAATCAATGCATCATCGAATTAGTTAACTAATTAGGTTAATTAATTAATTGATCTGGTGGTGAAATTTAATGACCACATGGAATGGCTGAGGTGCCCCTGCGGAGAGGTTTGGGAACTGAAACGATGTTCATCTAGCCACCCAAGACGATATCAGTAACTTTTTGGAGAACAAACTCTTGTTAGTTTTTTTTGTGTCTTTTAATTTGCATATGTTCTAATGCTATATTGTATGTGTGTGTTTTTTGAGCACTTACTACCCAGATTTCTTTGACTGCCTAAGACTTTTGCACAGTACTGTACATAAGAATCATACCCTTGCTCATGAGATCATATTTGGAGTATGTATATTTTTTGCCTTTTTAATAAATGAATCAAAAATGCATAAATATTCCCTTTTCATTAAACTTGTTTCCTGTCTGCCTTACATTTTCAATATTTACTTAGTTGGGAAGAAGCCAGTCAGTTAATATGGAAGTTTGTTTTTTTTAACCTTTTTTGTATTATTAATCAGATTAGACAGTGCTGGAACTTGCTCAATATTTATTAACTGACATTGGCATCAAGCAAAGTCATCCACAATGGAAAGTCTTACATTTATAATCCGTATAGCTAAACCCATCTGTCATTAAAAGCCTTGTCACACCTGACTGAACTACTAATAGGCCTTCCCAAGATTAGAGATTCATCAAACTTTGACGAAGAGTTTAATTTTTTGCCAATTTTTTGTCACAATAATGAACATTTAATCACTAATTGTTGGGTTTCTGGGTTATGTTTGTGATTCATCCCAGTTACTCTGAGCAGTTTATACCATCTGACAAGATTTTAACCTAAAATTACTCAAATATGGCAGCACCTTCTGTTGCCTTTAAATTACGGAAACTGCAACAGTGGGGTGAATGAAAACTCCATAAATAAAGAAATGTGAGATGAGACAATGCCCTAATAGAAGTGGTGTCCCTTAACCTATATTAATATACATGAAAACGCCGAAGAAATGTAATTTATGTTAGCTAATAATTTTCTTCCATACCTCAACCACGTCGCTACAATATGACGCCAGTGCCACAAACCGATAGTCAATGCGCAAAATTAATTCTGGGAGATGTAGTCCACGACTAACATTTTACAATAAAAAAACGAGGAAGGTCGTTTTATTAAAACTACAATTACATGAGAGCCAGAGAAACACGTACTACGGGTCTTTAGATGGTTTGGACGTTCCTAAACAGCCCGACACGCCAACTGCAGATATTATGTCACTGACATTATAAAACGGATTACAAAAAGATGCACTATAAACGCCAGTAAAACAGCTACAACGGTAAACGTAAATTGACAGTGCATTGGCGCAACAATGCAATCAAATAAGCTTGATAAAACCCGATCTTTTTTGTGTTTGCCTGATGTTTAAACCAGCTATATACCTGGAAACGATCCCCTCAGTACAGCAACAGATCAGACGTCATAATGTATAATTTAAGAGCATTCTTCATGGAACCCATCCATCTTCTGACACTGGTTGGTAATTTTGCAATGCAACATATTAACGACTGAACTGCAGCCGTAGCGTCTCCATAACGAATAGGAGCTACAGTAAAAGCTTTGATTGCGAGTAACTTTGTCTGCGAGTGTTTTGCAAGACGAGCAGATTTTTAAAATAAATTTTAACTTGATAAACGAGCGAGGTCTCGCAATACGAGTACGTAAACGCTTCGTGTGCTGAGCGTCACGTGATCTGAGCCGATTGTTCTTCTCTCTCAACAATTTAATTTGTGTCCAAGTGTAGTGACTTTTCTTTAGTAACTGTACTGGAACAATGGCCCCGATGAAGAAAAAGGTCGAAAAGAAAGGCGGTAAGAAGAAGGAGATGATTACGGTGGAAGTTAAGAAGGAAATCATCGAGAAGCACGAACGACGCATGCGAGTGGCCGACATTGCAAGATTTTATAATAAATCTACGTCGACGATTTGCACAATATTAAAGAAGAAAGAAGAAATAATGGGGCTAGATGCAGCAAAAGGAGTCACGAGAGTATCAAAGCAACGGCCACATGTTCTGGAAGATGTAGAAAAGTTGCTTCTTGTGTGGATAAATGAGAAGCAACTAGCAGGTGATACTGTGACCGAGAACTTTATCTGCGAGAAGGCAAAGACCTTGTACACAGACCTCGTAAGTAAACTGCCAGGTACGTCGACAGAAAACGAAGGCTTCAAGGCAAGCAGGGGATGGTTTGATAACTTTAAGAAGAGAAGTGGCATCCGTAGTGTTGTGAGGCATGGAGATGCTGGGATTTCGGACGCTAAGGCAGCTGAGGTGTTCGCTGACGAGTTCCAGAAGCTCATGGTTTCTGAGTGTTACCTGCCGCAGCAAGTTTTTAACTGCGATGAGATGGGGCTTTTTTGGAAAAAGATGCCAAAGAGGACCTACATTACAGCAGAAGAGAATGCAATGCCCGGTCACAAGCCCATGAAAGACCGTCTGACCCTCTTGCTGTGTGCTAATGCAAGCGGGGATTTCAAAGTCAAGCCTCTGCTCGTGTATCATTCCGAGAATCCACGAGCTTTCAAGAAATGCAGGGTGCAGAAGAGCCAGTTAAACGTTATGTGGAGGTCCAACCGCAAGGCTTGGGTCACTCGTATCTTGTTCGTTGAGTGGATCAATGAGGTCTTTGGTCCTGCAGTGAAGAAATACCTTTTAGAAAAGAATCTGCCTCTCAAAGTCTTGCTAGTTATGGATAATGCTCCTGCTCATTCTCCAGGCCTTGAGGATGACTTACTGGAGGAATTTGAGTTCATTAAGGTCAAGTTCCTTCCTCCCAACACCACTTCACTACTCCAGCCCATGGATCAGCAGGTCATTTCGAACTTTAAAAAGCTTTACACCAAAGCACTATTTCAGCGATGCTTCGAGGTGACTGAAGGAACAAACCTTACCCTTCGAGAGTTTTGGAAAAATCATTTCCACATTGTGAACTGCCTCAAGATCATCGATAAAGCCTGGGATGGGGTCACCAAGAGAACCCTCAATTCTGCTTGGAGAAAACTGTGGTCTGATTGTGTTCTTGGACATGGCTTTGAGGGGTTTGCTCATGAACTGGAGCCGCCAGTTGTCGATGAGATTGTGTCTTTGGGGAAGACCTTGGGACTGGAGGTGAATGAGGAAGATATTCAAGAGCTGGTGGAAGAACATGGCCAGGAGCTGACCACCGACGAACTAATCGATCTGCGTCGGGAGCAACAGCAAGAGGTTATGGAGGAGATCTCGTCTGAGGAGGTGGAGAAAAATACGGAGGAATCCCTCACTTCAAATGAGATTAGGGAGATGTGTAAAATGTGGGAAAGAGTGCAAAATTTTGTAGAAAAGCACCACCCAAATAAGGCTGTAGCAGTGCGAGCGATGAATTTGTTTAATGACAATGCAATGTCACATTTTCACGAAATCCTCAAAAGGAGGCAAAAGCAACATTCATTAGATAGGTCCCTTATTAAAGTTGCACAAAAAGAAAAGGATTCCGTTAGTTATACAAATTAACCCCCCTCCGCTCCTCTCTCTCGTCTCCCTCACAGCAGCCATGACAGATTGACAGATTTTCAAAGGTAAAGTGCAGGCTAATTTGTTTAATGTATTTTTACTTTATGTTTTGTATAAATCATTTTTATATAAATATTTTTGGGTTGTGGAACGAATCATCTGACTGTCCATTATTTCTTATAGGAAAATTTGCTTTGATATACGAGTGCTTTGGATTACGAGCACGTTTCCGGAACGAATTATGCTTGCAATGCGAGGTTTTACTGTTACTCGCATAGTGTCATCGTTCTGCAAGAATGACTGCAGTATCGTGAGAGGTCGGAGTGCCAGAGCGGTTCTGACTGACTGTCGGTCCGGTCCAGCCAGGCTCTCTGTTCATTAGGTTTCACCGAAACATCAGTTCAGCGTGTTTGACTGTTCAGGTCACGTGACGCGATGCACACCGTCTTGCTATTGGTATAGCGTCTGATATTATGATATTATGTCTACCAAAGTGTGCAAGCTTAGTCATTTCAAAACCTTTTCTAAAACCACCCCAGTATTTGCAGTAGCCATCC